TGGGCCTCCAGGCTGAATGTGCGTGGACCCCTGCTCCCCATCTCTCCACTGCATCTGACTCCACACTGCCCACTAGCTCTCTGCCCGTGCAATAGCCCCTGAGCTGAAGTGGGCACAGTCTCCTTCCTAGGCTAGTGCTTCCAAATCCAGCAAAGGCTTGGGAGGTGATGCTGTGTCCTAAATCATGGCTTCTGCCCCTTGGAGAATGTGTAGTTTAGTCAGAGATGTGGACTTTACCCACTCAGAAGAATTCATGTTTCCTTATCTCCAGTTGTAGTCTAGTCCAGCACTTTCTTTTTTTTTTTTTTTTGAAGATTTATTTATTTATGCATACAAGAGCTGGGGCACAGGCCAGAGACGCGGGGGGTGAGAGGATTCACCAGAGACAGAGTGGGGAGCAGAACAGGCAGACTGACTGAAACGCACTGCTGAGGGGAGCAGCGGGCAAGACAGGAGAGGTCTGCTTCGCCATGTGGTTGTTCCCTGGCGGGGCAGGGATTGAACTTGTGCTGCAGAGGCTGTGGATTGCTCCTTAGTGCGGTGCTTAACCCCTTGCGCCACTAGGGAGGCCCCTAGTCCAGCACTTTCAATAGTCATGTGTCATCACCCTCCTTCCTCCACTCCCCCAACAACCTCCTCCCCAAGTTCCCCTCATGTTATATCTGGGTCATGTCTCAAAGGAAGACATTTCTAAACATGGGGCTCCTTAGTCTCCAGTGTTCTGTGACAGTTCCTCAGTCTTTTCTCCTTTTTCATTATCTTAACAACTTTGAAGATTACTTTGCGGAATGGCCCTTCATTTGATTGCAATGTCCCTTTATTTGATTTCTCTGATGAGGGGCTTGGGGAATTGGGGGAGAACAACATGCAGATGAGTGAGCCGCTTCCCATGCATCCTCGGGGGCACAAACCATCCCCGCCACCTGGCTGACAGGTCTTCTCCAGGCCTCTCCATTGCAACGTGATGGTTTTTCCTTTTCCAAACTGGATTCTTTAGAATTAAGTTCCTAAGTCTGGCCCAGACAGAGAGTGAAAGCGAAGCTTTGAAGCTTTACCTCTCAGAGGGGGAGCATGTGCATAGATTCGTTTGGGAATTCTTCTGGAAGGAGCCTTTATCTCAGCATAAATTCGTATCTATTTGTTTTATAATGCTAACTACCCAAAGTGCGGTGTTGTTATTTATTTTTATTTTTTAAAGATTTGTTTATTCATGCATACAAGAACCAGGGTATAAGCCAGATGTGCAGGCGAGTGAGAGGATTCACCAGAGACAGAGTAGGGAGCAGAACAGGCAGATCTTCTTGAAATACACTGCTGAGAGGAGCAGTGGGCGGACAGGAGAGGTCTGCCATGCCTTGCGGGTATCTCCGCGGCTGGCGAGGATCAAACCCGCACTGCAGAGGCTGCCGACAGCTTCACAGCACTGCGCTCAACCACTTGCGCCACCAGGGGAGGCCCTGTTATTTATTTTTATTTATTTTTACTTTATATATTTCTTATATCATTTTTCATTTTTATACAATATATGCATTTTCATCTTGGTTATAGTCCCCATACAGTTCCCACCCCCCTTATTTTGATCCTACCCTCCCTCCCCCCTGTAGTGTGTCCCTGGTTTATAGTTGCTTGTTGATTTTGATTTTTACTTTATTATAATTAGTTTATTTTTAAACGAATTGTTGCCGCCTGGGCCTGGGAGCCCTCTCTGGTTGGCTCCTCTGCCTGAAGCCCCGCCTCTTATTTCCCTGAGCGCGGTCTTGCCTGGGTTTCAGGACACTCTGGGTGCTGTGGCTTCTCCTGCCTCAGCCCTGGAATCCACCATTTCTACAGGGAGCAGCCGTGGCGTTGGACTCCAGAGCTTTGCAGGCTTCGCCCTTCACGCGAATTGACGCTCACTCCACCTCGTGACATGAGCAAGATCAGTTTTCTAGTTGGGTTGTTGGTTTTCTTGTCCCAATAGTTCAGATCCTACAGTTTTGCTTTGCATGGTTCAGATTGCATTTTATTCTCATTTATTTACAAAACGAAATGTTTGAGCTGCTTATCAAATATATCAGTCTGCATTATGGAATAAATTATGTTCCTTCTTAGTAACATTGAGGTGAGGTTTGGTATCTGCTAAATAAAATCTGGGTATACTTTGTATCTTCCGTGCAAGCCTCTAACTTATGTCATTTGTGCATAACCGTTAGAAATTTACTTATTAGCAGTAGATACTTTTTATCACCCTAATCTCTTTGAGTTTTACTTTTGTGATTTTAGAAAATATAAGCAAATAGCTTTGGTTTAAAAGAACTGTGATTGAAGAGAGGTCCCGTGTGGTAGACGAAACAGCAACATATCTATTAGCGACATTATCTTTGGAGTTGAGGCCTGTGTTTTAACCTGTGCTTAGTTTCTGACTTGTGGAAGGGCCTGAGGCAAGTTCTTAGACGTCACAGATCTCAACATTCTTCCTGTGAAAACAAGAATATTGACAAAAGTCTTTAAATTTACCCCCTCTCCATTAAAACAGCCTTCCTGAGGTTATAAGACCTCTTTTGGCAATTGTGTGTGTGGTGAGGGGTGAAATATTGCAATGATCAAGTGTTACAGCTTAAACACAGGCATTTGGTTTCTGTCTGAAAGGGAGTATCATTCAGGAAATACTACAATATTAGAAGGAAACGCTTACAGAAAAAAATTCTTCTTATTTCCTTTCCAGTTCCAACCTCCCCACACAGAATGCATAATTTACCTTTAACAAGCTCTTGTTAGTCATAAAAGCTTGGAAAGCTGCCATCTTGAAAGTCTGTAGTTTTATTGTATTAAGCAGACATGGCTTTCTCCACTCTTCCTACATCTTTACTTGGTGAATATTTGTTTTTTAGTTAATACGTAGACATCTCCTCATCATCTTAAAGAGGGTCAAAGGGGGTTCTATCTGTATTTAAATTTTTAGTGTCTGGCCTTATGGAGATGAAGAAGGGAAAAAATCTGTATTCCTTAGAACTCACTTCCTCCCAGTGATTTCTCCAGTCGGGCGGGAAGAAGCGAAGACAAGCGTGTCGTGTGTGATTTGAAACCAAGTGATGTTTTGTACCGTTGCTTTGATTTCTTTTTGGCATGAGGTTTAAAATTTATATTGATTATAAAGTCAAAGAGACTCACTGATTTTTAAGTTTAAGAAAGTGTTTAGGGCCACCCCTAAACTCCAGGTCGTGTGCAGGGAACGAGGGACATCGGTGCACATGGTGGGTTCTGGGGAATATTGGCCTACCTGACCCGGGAGGTGAGCTCACGTGGAGGGTTTCAGACGAGAAGAATCCAGATAATGTCCTTGGTGTCTTGTGAAATCATCACCATTGGAGCGCACTCTGTAGTGTCTCCTGGCACAACGTTACTGTAGCATTATTGAACAAGTAGGGTGGCACCGTGTGCCGGGGCACTCACAGATTTCTAAACAGCTTATTGTAATTAGCAGTTTAATTTTAGAAAACTAATTTTACATGGTCGAAATTTTAAACTGCTGAATTGACATCCCATAAAAATTGTTGAACTTTATTATTGATTCATCTTCACTAAAAAATTGTCAGACCCTTCATTTTAATTTAAAAAATTGTCAGATAAAAATTTGTCATTATGAAAGATAAAATGATATTCTCTGGAGGTCATTGCTGATTCATTCCTCCTACACATATTTATTACTTATTTATTTTTACATCATTGTTCATTTTTATATAATGTTTGACTTCTCCCCTTAGGTGTAATCTGCATAAAATTCCCACCACCAAATCACCCGTGAATTGTCACCAGAGTATTTATTGAGAACTTACTTTGGGGTGCACTTCTTGAATTAATGAATGTAAATTTTTATTGTCTTCTGCAAGCCTAATTCAGAATTCTGACTACATTAGATGCTTTTTGTATTTTGCTCGTATCTACTTAGGCACAGTGAAAATTTGGTTTCTCTTTTTCTTCATGAATCCTGCAGGAGTTGTAATAAACAGGTACATGCTAACGCCTGCTGTCAGGAAAGGCTGAATGTTTTGTAACATTCTCCGGTGAAGAGAGAGAGTAAAGGAGAGCATGTTGACTTTCTTGGGCGCTGGGAGGGTTAAAGTCTTATTTACTCAGTAATGACTTCAGCTCCAGCTGTTAACTCTCCAACTGTTATGTTTTTTAAAAACATTTGAAATTCATTTTCCTACCAACACCATGGGTATAGGTTAAGAGTTACTGCAGATACCTGGGTAAACATTGCTTTTGGTGGGGGGGATAGAAAGATAGTCATCGACTTAAAGCAATTTTTAAAAAATTTTATGAGAATCATGATTTTGAAGACATTGATGAGAAAATTGCTGTGAGAAATAATCTGTCCCTACACTAACTGCTGCCATTTCTCTGTTCTGTTAGCTCTATAAGGAATTTCATTTTCCCCAAACTAGCATAGATAAGATGTTAGATCAATGAATGGATTGATCTCTATTTAAGGACAAAGCTCAATGGGGCCATTTGCATGTTTTGGACATTTTATTATGGTGAGTTAGGCATACAGCAAAGTTGAAAGAATTTTGCATTGAGCACATATGTACCGACCATTTAGATTGGCATTTTACTGTGCTTGCTTTATCACACACCGGTCTATATGTCTCTCTATCCTTTCATTCACATATGTAATTTTTAATACATTTCCAAAAACTTTCTGGACAATCATGGAAGCTGATTTGTATCCTGGGATACAACTGAATTGGTGACTGAGAAAGTGATGAAGAGTCAGGCTTGTGATCAGATGGAGTTCTGATTCTAACTGCACACGAGGTCTGCCCATAAGTCGCAGTATCTTGCTAATATTCCTCTGATTTTAATATTACTTGCACAGTTAGTACAATCTTGATGGAGAACCCTCAGTTGCCAAGTCTCTCGATGGTGATGCTGACTGAATATGTTGATAGTTGCCATTACAAGTTATTTAGTGTTGTTCCGCATGAGACTTACTCTGCCATGTCTTTCCTGGTTAGGAGTAGCCCATCGAAGCCAGAGCAGTGAAGGAGTCAGTTCTCTCAGCAGCTCGCCCTCCAATAGCCTTGAAACGCAGTCTCAGTCTCTCTCACGCTCCCAGAGCATGGACATCGACGGTGTCTCTTGTGAGAAAAGGTAAAGTGAAACCACTTTTCCAATAAGCTGTTTTATTAGTGGAAAGGAAACGATCCATTTACTCCAGTCACTAGTCCAGAGACCCATGACACAGTCTTCAGCAAATCAGAGCTCAGTTGGCTAAATTTAAAGGTCTTTGTAATATTCTAAAATGTTTTCATGCCTTTTGTTTGTTTTTGGTGTTGAAATGTCTTTTATGAGGTATGGTGTGGGTGGTGAAAACTGTTTTTTAAATGTCTATATTTCATAAATACAAGGTTGGCAAGCATATGCCAGTCGCTAAAAAGTTCTTCAAAATTTAAATGATGAATGAAATGGAAAAGTTTGGAAAGGTTCAGACAGGTAAGCCTGATATCCTAGGCGCTCCATTAGGATTAGGGCATCCTAGAGCAGAGCCTTCCTGTGCTGCAGATGTACCCTGAGTGGGTGAAAGAGGGGCTGAGGCCTCCATTCCTTCTGCTCTGCCCTCAGCAGCCCTCTGTTTAGGTCCATGGACTGGACGAGTATCTCCTATGTGTGTCATAATGTGAAAAAGCTTGAGAAGCACTGGTTGGTTTAGAACTTCAGCACTTGGTGGGACTAGGTTGAGGATCCAGAGCAGAGTTCAACCTATATCAGGCAAGAATGTGGGAAGGACTATACTCTAAGGGCAAAGATCAAGTAGGATAAAATCCATCCTGTAAAATAAAAATAATTGGATTCTTATTATTGCTGCAAGTGGATGTATGTTAACAACAATCAAGTCAACTCTGAGAGTTCATGGCCAGATGGTGACTTTTGTGTGGGTTTAGGAGCTAGATTTACACTATTAGCAGAGTCAGAAGAAACCTTAACCTAAGAACTGCCATCCCCAGTGGGTCTAGGCCTGTAGTATCTTTACATACTTAGCAGTAACAAGCACAAAGCACCCAAGTCTTCAGAGAACTTCCTTAGAAAAACCTCTTAAGAAGTAGGGACTCATGATCAAAAACCACAAAACACACATAAAAAAAGCCACCATGAGTGAGAGCAGAATCAGTAACTACAAAATTTTTCACCTAGAAATTTGGGGGTTTTGGAATTACCTATACAGATTACAGTGCAATCAAATGTAGACTATATATGGTTAAATAAATTAAAAAGGGAATTATAAGACATGAATAAGGGACAAGTGATTATGAAAACAGACAAGTACATTTGAAAAGAACCAAATGGAATTTCTAGATGTGAAAACACAATTCAAATTGAAAACTCAATCTAAATATGAAATAGTGGATTAGACATAGCTGAAGAGAAAATTAACAAACTGAATGATAGAGCCAAAGAAATAACCTAGAGGGCACCACAAAGAGTAGAACAGATTAAAAATATGAGAAATATGTAGGGACATAGAGGACACAGATCTAATATATAGCTAATAGATATATCAAAAGGAGAAAATGTAGAGACTTGGAGCGATTCCTCACTCGCCTCCTTATTCTGTATTTTATCCTCTATTGGTTTGTCAGAAGAATAAATGACCGAGAATTTTTCTGGAGTTGATAAATGAAATGAACGCTCAGATTTGGGAGGCCCAGCAACTCACAAGGTTAAACAAGGAAGAATTCCTATTTAGATATTCTATAGTAAAATTGTAGAACACCAAAGACAAAGACCTTTACATAGCAGCCAACAAGAAAAGGAGATGATCTACAAAAGGACAACAGTAATCTGTCTCAATGATGGAAGTCAAAGGGTGATGGAATAATAGCATTAAATGTGTAAATTTAAAAAAAAAAAAACCTGTCAACAGCAACTATGTACCAATGTGATTCTATTACTATCTTGTAAGAGCCAGGTTGAAGTAAAGACATTTACAAATTAAAACAACAACAAAAAGCCCAACCTGACCATCTGCCACCAGAAGAGTCCACCTTTTAGCAAACATAGAAGGAAAATGATCTCAGAACTCATGTCTGAGATGCAAGAAGGAGGGAAAAATAAAGCAAACTATAGATGTGGTTAATCCAAACAAACACTGATGGTCTAAGACAATAATGAAAGTTCATGAAATAATTTTGGGGGCAAGAAGGTAAAATCAGAGATCTAAAATACTGGACTGCAATTGTAAGGAAGCCAGCTTGTGAGTGTCTGAGAAACTGCGAGGTCCTTGTATTACTTGCGGGAAGGCTAAGAGACTGGTATACTCTCAGTTATTTTGTTTCAAATACTTGTGAAACTTCAGTTTTAAAGGAATAGGAAGGATATTACTTCCAAACCAGTAAAGGGAAAACATGGGCCAGGCTGGGGAGGTGGGAAATTTAAATCAAAGAAAGGGAAAAAAGAAGCACACATTTTAAAAGAGGGACAAGCAACATAGATAAGATGGAGAAAAGAAATTGAATTATGTAACAACACTGGAGTGAAAAGGCACAAGGTGGGTAAGAAGCAACAGAAGCCGCTTTCCCCTTGTTTACAGAAGGCAGGCCTGGAACACAAGGCAGAGAAGGGTGAAAAGTTTCAGGAGTCAGAAGCACACAAGACCCATGTTTTCTATGTTGCTTGAAATATATAATTATGTAGGAAAAAAAGCTTTAAACAATCCTCATACACTTGGAAGTTTTAAGACCAGCACGCTGCTAAGTAGCATCAAAGAAGAAACCAGAATGAAAATTTGAAGGTATTTAGAACTGAGCAATAGCAGATACTTCTTATCAGGATTTCCGTGTCACAGCTAAGTGATCCCTAGGAGAAAAGCTGAAGCGCTATGTTACAAATGAAAAAGAAAGTGGAAATATCAAACTGAAAATCCTTCTGGAACACCACCATCTGGACTGGGTATCCTTCTTTCTGCCACGGTATGTCTCAGCGAGGTGCCCCTCATTTCAGGTGGAAAGGCCTGTATCCTGCACCTTTTCCCAGCTCTTTCTCCTCTCGTCTTTCCACAGCACTTGTGATTTAACATGCTTTGTGCTTTGCTGATGATGCTTATTGTTTGTTTTCGTCTTCACCCTGTGTGAGGTCCCTGACAGAGGGGTTTTTTTCTCTTTTGCTCACTGATATCACTGACACCTAGAATGACCCTGTACAGAGGGGACACTCGATAATATTTGTTACTGAGAAAATTCCATGAAAAATGTAATCATGCAAAGTACAAATAAATTTGTAAAATTCTCCCAAAATTGACTCAAGAAGAGAGAACCTGAATCATCAAAAACCATGAAACAAATTGAATCAAGTATTGCAACAATTTCCAAAAAAGTGCCCTGCTCAGTGATTTTATAGTTAATTCCACCATTTCGATTTTGTACACATTTCAGACAATTAAAAAAAAATAGGAAATACTGGTTGAATTTATTATACAAGGTGAATATAGCCTTCATAGCAAAACCAGGCAAGAATAATTATATGATCTGGCGCTGATTACATTAGTGTGTTTACTTTGTGAAGGTTGATTCAGCCTAATATGGGTGACACATCTATGCACAATTATGTACTGATATTTCAGTTAAAAGTTTAGTTAAAAGTAACTACCCTACATAACGTGATTCACTTGAGTTTACTTGAGGAATGTAGGGTTTTTAACATTACAAGATCTATAAATATCATGTACCACCTTCTGTATTAAAAAGTCTTGTAATCTTGATAGTTGCAAAAGTTTGATAAAATTCTACATTTTATGATTAAAAACCTTAGCAAACAGGAAAGAGCATCCTTAAGCTGACTGTGGCAGAGAGAAAGTGCACAAACACTCCTTGTGCTCCCCTGCATTTCCAGCCCTCTTTGCAGTTAGAGGGGGACAAGCTCTGTCCAGTAGACTGTGAGTGGACGTGACACGCGTCACTTCTAGGTGAAGGCAGTTGAGCCGATGTTCCTCCTCCATCCCTCTCTTCTCTTGCTCCAGTGACCTTGGAGGCTGTGTATTGCAGATGGCATAGATTAAAGATGGAGTAAGGATGCTTCACTCTCATCAGACTTTGCGTAAGCAAGAAATAAACCCTTATAGTGTTAAGCCTCTAAGATTTCAGTTATATGTGTTTCCACAGCATAGCCTATCTTATTCTGACTAATGTAAATGGCATTTACCAAAAGCCAAAAACAGAAAAGGATGGCAACTCTCATATTCAGTGGTGAAAAGTTAGAAACTCTCTTTAAAATCAGGAATAAGAATGAGAATGTTTGCTCTTTCTGCTTCTGTTCTACATGGGGCCCCTATCCAGCACAGTAAAGCAAGTGAGGGCTAGAGTAGAAGAAACACAACATTACTATTGGGAATGAAATTTTGATCTATCCAGTCAACTGTATTAAGTAAACTGATCTCAAGTCAACGACTTACTATGTACGAGCAATAAAAAAAATTGGAAAACTTTTTTAAAAGGTACCATTCATAATCTCATTAAAAAATAGATGGTACCGGGGTATAAATTTAGCAAAAGAAGTATAAAATTTTAGTGGAGAAAATTATAAAATTTTACTAGAAGACCTTAAAGAAGGTCTAAATACTTGGAGAGAGATACCATGTTCATGGATTGAGAGATTCAGTGATAGAATGATGTCATTTCTCCCCATTTGCCCTCAGAATGGATGAAATTTAGTCGGTGTCCAAACAGAATTTTTAAGAAACTTGTCAAACTCATTCTTAGGTATGTGTGGAAGAGCAAAGGGCCAGGAATTGCCAAGACACTCTTGAAGTAGAGCGAGGTGGAGGTGCTGACCTTGCAGATGTGAGACGTATTGTGAAGTTTTAGTAAAATAGCATGGCATTGGCTCAAAAACAGGAAGATTATCTGTTGGAACAGAAATGAGAATCCAGAAATAGACCCACACATAGGTGAAAATTGGGCATATGACTTAGAGGATTTCACAGTATATAAAAAGGATGGTCTTTCCAATAAATATGTGCAGGGACAATTATTTACTTACTATGGGGGAAGAGAGTATATGTACTTAGCCAGATTTTATTATCTGACTCTGGGTGATTACATATCATTGAAAAATAGTATGTATAGAGAAACCCTGATTTTTTTTTCCAAAAGTGAGCCTAAGAAAATGACAACTTGGGAAAAATGTTTTCGACAAGTGTGGTGGCATGTTTCTATCCTAATATATGAAGAACTCCTAAAAATTAGTTAAAAAAAAAAAAGAAATTTTATCATTTTACTCTCCTGATTGACTTTGACTGATATTTTAAAACTTTTCCTCGACCAGCAGTTATGACGTTAGGTGGATTTATAAAAGGTGAAAAACTTATTTGTCTTTTGTGCTTAAAGCATGTCCCAGGTGGATGTGGATTCAGGAATTGAAAATATGGAGGTTGATGAAAATGATCGAAGAGAAAAAAGGAGCCTCAGCGATAAGGTTGGTAAGAGATGAAGCCCTCGCTTCTGTTTTTAGTACAGGTAATATAAATAAGTAAACTCCAGTTCATGTCTCATGTGTTGGAGCTGACTCACCCAAATCACCAAATCCCATGTAGTGATTTTTTTTCCTTTTGAGGAAAAAAATAAGTGGCCTAAATGGCTTTTATTAGTGGGACTACAACTTGGTCCTTTCACTTGATAAAATGCTTCCGTTATCTCTGTTTCAGGTCCATGTTTTATCAGCTAATTTAGTTTGTAATCGAAATTAATTTAGAGCTGATTAGAATTTTGTTTTAAGATTTATTTATTTATGCATTGAAGAATTGGGTAGAGGCCAGAGGTGTGGGGGGTGAGAGGATTCATCAGAGACAGAGTGGGGAACAGAACAGGCCGACTGATGGAAACACACTGCTGAGGGGAGCAGCGGGCGAGTCAGGAGAGGTCTGCCGCGCCATGTGGGTCAGCTCCCTGGCCGGGATCGAACTCAGACCTTCACAGTGATAGCGCTGAGACTTAACCTCGAGGCCACCAGAGGGGCCCTAGTTAGAATTTTTCTGTTAAGTTCTGTTGCTTTAGCAAGTAGGTCATCTGCTTCTTTGGTAGTATTCTGAGGGAAATGACTGGAAACCAAAGCAAAGACTGTGTAGGATCCAGTCACAAATAAGAAGCTTTTTGAAAACTTGAAGTCTTTCTATTTTGTTGTCACCTGATATTTAGAAAAAGTTCCCTATATTTATATATATGTTAATTCCCTATATTTAGAAAAAGGGTTTCCTCGTGTGTGTCACAGTGTAGAGCTGGTGTCGGCACACATGTTGCTTCCTCTTAGTAACTGTTACTGGTGTCCAGCAGCACACAGCTGGGTCACTGGGTCCCGCGCGGTAGCCTCCTAGTGTGTGACTCTTTTTTTGGTCTAGTTCTTTAACGTTTACAAAGAAGTTCCATATATATTTAATCTGTGATGGAAAGTAGTAAGGAATGTTAGATCATGGAATAATTCCGGGAGCAAAATTAGTTGTTGACCTAGAATTTAATCTGGTCCTTTGGCTTCAGGAAAGAAAATGAATAAGATATATGCAGACCTCAGGTCACGTGGCTTCCTTGGCACTTCCCGACTGTGTCCTTGCTCCCTTTGGCTCCCCTGTCGACTATGTGGTGAGCTCACAAGACCTGCCTGTTTTACTCAGAAGCCATAGCAACAAGTCTAGTCTTTCCTGAATCAGTGGGTGAATAGCTATATGCACTTCTGAAGTGTCCATATGAGTGAAAGAATTAAATCAGGATTAAGTATTTCTACCGAGAAATACTTAGTCTAACTGAGACCTCCTTCCGCTTGACATTAACCCCTGCATCTTCTTCCTCACAAGGAGCCTTCATCAGGTGCTGAAGTGTCAGAAGAACAGGCCTTACAGCTGGTCTGTAAGATCTTTCGTGTCTCCTGGAAGGACCGGGACAGAGATGTCATCTTTCTTTCTTCTCTTTCCGCACAATTTAAACAGAACCCAAAAGAAGGTAGGACTCTAGCCCAGCTGTCTATTCTCAGTGCTAAGAGAAAAGGTCTGCTGTCCCTCACTGCTACCCACAGCTACTCTGTCCTGCTTTATTTGGGTTGTACTTTTGTTTATAGGGATACTTCTTGGTGAGGACGCTGCTCTCTGGCCATTTTCTACTGATCTTACTGGTAAAAAAATCATTCCTTTCATGATTTCTAGAAAACAATATAAATAAGTTAATAGTGTTCGTTGTGTCATGGGGGACGCTCTTTCCTTTGCAATAAGACGGGGCTTAGAGAAAGCTTTGGTTTCTGTCACCAAGCGGAAGCACTGGGGTCCCAGGGAGCTGCGGAGGCGCTCAGTCTGACCTGCACCTGCTTCATGAGCCCACTAGGCTGCATGTAGACAGCGCAGTGAACCTGTTGTTAAAGTGCCTGGCACGACAACGTACTGTTATTTTGCTGTGTTCCCCGGATTCTGTTTGAAAGGCCATACTAAGCCCCGGTCTCAGCAAGTAACGAAATGCTCAGCAGGACCGAGCATCACAGGGAGCTGTCACTTGGAGTCCAGGGGAGGTGGGGCAGGGACGCTGGAGGGGCCTCCTGACGTTGGGGATCTTGTCATTGTGCCTGGGGAGGTGCCTTGCACTTAGCAGACCCTCTGTAGATGTAACTTAAATGAAATAATAAATATTCCAGAGTTTGTCTTTTGCTTCTTGGGGGTCCCTGTCTCCCAGGCAAAAAAAAAAAAAAAAAAAAAGTCCCCGTGTTCCTACTGGATGGATCAGCCACTTCTGCTTTGGCGGGTTCTTGCTAACTCTGGATCTGGACAGGAGCCCAGCCTCTGCATGTTCAAATCGCTCTGCTTGTTGTTAGTCTTTCTTTTTTAAATGTGTATTTAGGGTCCTAGCCCAACATCATAAAACTAAGTAGAGAAGGATGGTTTGAAACTACAGGACAAAAGCTTAATAAATAGCACATTGACTAAATCACATGTTAATGAATTTATGTATTTGGGTCTATTTCTGAACTCCATTCTGGTCCATTGACTTGTCGTTAGACTTATTTTCAAAATTGAGATTCTCAAACCCATCTTGCAGATACATAGATGATATTTTTTAAGAACCAGATCAGATAAGATTTACAGGGGTTAGAGCTCTAAGTTTATGTAATGATGTTTAAAGCTTGTCTGAAGCCTGTAGGGCCTCATTTGGGAGCTGCAAGGAAGAGAGGAAACTGGAATGTAGTTGCTGACTAATCCCAGACACTTCATAATGTATTTTGAACTTTTTAATTAACAGTCCACTTCATGTAAAACATATGTAGACTAAGAAACCTTAACCCACTTGCATTTTGAGTCTGGTAAAACTCTATAGTCGGAAGTAGTTTCTTCCTACACTCAGTGCCTTCAGCTTTTTTGTATTTTGGGTTTTTGTTTTTTTTTTAAAGATTTACTTATTTATTTATACATAGAAAAACTGGGGTACAGGCCAGAGGTACAGGGGGTGAGAGGATTCAGAGACAGAGTGGGGAACAGAACAGGTGGATCTACTGAAATATACTGCTGAGGGGAGCAGCGGGCATGACAGGAAAGGTCTGTTGTGGCATGAGGGTCAGCTCCCTGGCTGGGGATTGCACTCAGGTCACAATGGTGATAGTGCTGAGACTTAACTGCTACGCCACCAGAGAGGCTCCCCTTTTTTATATTTTGAATACAATAATATTAGATTCACAGAGAAGTTTGTGAGACTGCAGGGAGTTCCTCTACCTGCTTTGTCCCTCCCCCCTATTTTGACATCTTACATTTTCACTGTATGTTTGTCATGACTCAGAAACTGCTGTTCACTATGCTCCAGACTAAATTTATTTCATTTCGCCAGGTGTTCCACTGATGTCTGTTTTCTTGTTCTAGAATCTGGTCTGGCCTGCCGAGGGGGCCTCCGAGGCTCCATCTGGCCTGTCGAGGGCTGTGTGCACGAAGAGCCTTGTGTCACTTCTTCTTTGTTCTATCTTTCCACAGTGTTCTCTGATTTTAAGGACTTGATTGGCCAGATTTTAATGGAAGTGCTAATGATGTCCACTCAGACTAGAGACGAAAACCCCTTTGCCAGCCTGACAGCTACGTCACAGCCCATCGCAGCGGCAGCTCGGTCACCAGACAGAAACCTCCTGCTAAATACCGGCTCCAACCCAGGAACAAGCCCCATGTTCTGCAGTGTGGGTTCCTTTGGGGCCGGCTCTCTGTCCAGGTCAGCGTGGTTCTCTCACTCATCTAAGTGGCAGCCACATCACCATGATGTGTGTGTGTGTGAGAGAAGGGAATTTCATTCACGGCTGATGTCACGCCATTCACAAGCACAGGTCACCTCTGGGGGCAAGGACTGAGGCCTTGGCGGGGGTGTTGTCTTTTCCAGATTGGTCCAGGTCTTCCATGGTTATATTGTTGGTAAAATGATTTCTAGAAACCCATGACTGGATATAGTGCGCTATTCTTTGGAGAGAGGCCTTTGCCTGTGGTGAAGTGGAGCCTCTCGATTAGTCCAGCATTTACAATATAACTGCTTAGATGAGTATCTGAGGATGTGTACGCTGAGAGATGGGAAGCGTTTAATTACACTGTTCTTTAAAAGCTTGATTTTTTTGTTTTAGTTGTTTACCTCAACTTTATCTTCAATTTTCTCTTCTTTCTGCCTTTTCTCAACCAATGTAGCCTCTATGAAACGAGCCCGGCTCCCCATGCGAGTCTCTGGAGCTCTGTGCCCGTGAGGAGTCCGTCATTGGCCTCCCCTTCCCGCGCAGCCAGCCAGGGGGCAGTGCCTTCTCTGTCCCTCGGTCCCCACAGCCAGCCCCCCTCTCCCCGGTATCGCCCCTACACGGTAGCCCACCCCTGGGGGGCTTCAGCCTCTCCCACTCCACGCTCTGCAGGCCTCTCCACACTGTCTAGCTCACCCAGCCTCCCCGCCCTCACTAGTAGCCCTCAAGCAGTGCCAGCCAGCTCCTCCAGAACGAGAGCCGCCAGCACGGGGCCTCCCCTGCTGTCCGCCTCACCCAGTGCCATGAGCCACCAGCCCTCCCTGAGGATTTCTCCTAGGTATTTATCCAGCAGGATTGCTGGTGCCTGTTTGCAGCGCAGGGAAAGGTGATTAACGCGCTTTGGGAGAATCGCGCATGGCCCTGACCTGGGTGCACGTGTTCCCGGCTGGGGTCATTAGGTGTGTCCAGCTAGTGTGTGAGCATGCCCCAGCCCACGCCCCGCCTGGCTCTGGTGGCAGCAGAGAGGATGGGCTGCTCTGTCGTGGGTTCCTCTCTCCCCTCCTTTCTCACGCTGCCTCCTTCCTGTACAAAAAAAAAAAACCTAACTTTGTTTCTTGAAGCCTAGTTCACACGCCATTCCTCACTGCAGATGAGCTTCAGAGACGCTGGGGTTCATACCTGAGAGTTGGGGCTCCCACAGTCACCTTTTGACTTGCTGTGCCGTCACCCATTGGAGCTGAGTCCAGTCCGGCCAAAGGGCTAAGGGAGTGAATCTGGGCCCAGTGTCATGACCTCTGACCCAGTGTCACTGGAGTGGCCCGGGGTCCCCCTCCCCAACTCTGACTCCAATCTCCTAAAGAGAAGCCTGTGTCCCCTCACTCAGGTGTCCCCCGCCCATCTCTGTAATTAGGGAGCTTCCTGCCCTGCATGTGAGTAGACCAAGCTTTGGGCAGGAGGTGTGATGAAAGGCCAGCGGCTGTGAAAGCTGCCCCCTCTTGTTTCCCTTTGTCCCTGACCACCTCTTTTGCTTCTGTTGCGGTAGCGTGTCCGATAGCCCTTTCTCCTTCCTCCTCTTCGCTCTCTCTGGGGACAGTAGTGACGAAGATGACGAAGAAGATGATGATGATGATGTTGGTGATGATGAAGGTGGTGGTGGTGGTGGTGATGAGTTTTCTTGTGTCCAGTTTGGGTCCAGGTATCAGAGGAATGGAGTCTTACCCTGCATGCGCCTAGGTGCTTAGGAACTAACTTTCATGCGCCCTAACTAGGGGTGTGCTTTGCATCCAGAGTGGAGTGCAGTGAGGCGCCTGAAGGCCAGGGTGTGAGACCCTTGCATGCACTGAAGTAGAGGGCCTGGCCACGGGGTCAGGTAGCACGCAGGAAAATATTCACCGTTGCCTGCTAAGTTTGGAAGAAACGTATAGAAACACAAACAAGAGATTAAGACTAGCAGTGAGTTCACCCGTCCTAGGGTCTCAATGAGGCGCCCTCGCGAGCTCCCCTGTGTGTCCCGTGTTCCTGGGGGCCAGCTGTGAGGATCACTGCTGTTTTGGAAAGGGTGGGTGGCGCCTGGCTCTGTCGGGGCCATCCAGTGAAAAGCATTGGGGCCATAGTGCCTCTCTCGTAACCTTGAATTTTTTTAATCTCCTCCTTGACCCAGGGAAGCTAGACTCTCTTTGTCCAGAAAGCCTTTGGAATGGGAGCAGAGGCTAAAAAAACCGCGTTCGTGATGTCATTAAATGTTCACCCTTGAAAACCGAGTGAAAGACAACCTGGGGTTTCTGAGTGACTTTGAGCAAGCTTTCCCCTGACCTGCTGACTCATTGTCTTACAGTTTTGCTCTTAAATTGAGGTTTCCTCTGGACTGAGTTGGTATTTGTGCCCAGCACCATTCAAAAATAACTTCTGGCTATAAATAGAGACAACAGGAGGAGTTAGGTGCCTCATTAAGTGACGGTGTTCAGAAGAACCAGCAGAGAGAATGTGTGTATCAAGAGGAGGATGTTGGTGCGAGGCTGACTGTTCACTTGGGAAGGTTGTTGTTGTATTAGCTCGGGCAGTATGTCACTGTTTTCGAGTCAATTTCCCCAAGGTATCAGTGTCTGCCGGAGGCAGGTAAACCCTGGTGCATGACTACAGCACCGGGCAGGCATCCTTGTTAGCCATCAGTATCCGTTTTGCTATAAATTATCTGCAAGCAAAATGCCCTGGCCTATTTCATTCCCACTTTCTCTAACAACAAAGATCACAGTAGGTGCTGCTTTTGCCTACTCTCCTCTCTGGACATCTAAAACCCCAGTCTTCTAGATCCTGTACCTCCAAGAGGAGACAAAACTCCCTAATTGTGAAGAATTAGCTGCAGATATGGACTGAGCACCCTGGGCCCGGCACAGGGTCAGTGGTCTGCAGATGTCGTCCCTCCTGCCTCCCCCACTGCTGCCCGAGGTCAGCCCCTGTGGGAGTCAGTCATGTAGCCCATACTCGGCAGAGCCTGTGTGAGGTGCTTAGTACCTCAGCACCACACTGCCACCTCGACTTGTCCTTTTGTGCCCACTGGGACTCGTGTGGTTTCCCCTCCTCCCTGGTGATTCCACTGCTGTGACTTTAAGCACCTACTCTGTTCCTTGGCAAGGAAGTGCCAACTTTTTACTCCTAATTACAAAATCTCATACCAGTCCCTTGGTATGTCCTCTGTGGGCTGTTGAAATGAAACCTCATCTGTCCAGATGTTTGCAACTTATAGATTTTATCCATAGATCTTAAAAAGAATGCAAAAGGATGGGTGAAATAGCTGAGTGAGCAGATGGAATCCCTTAGTGTTGCATGTGAGATCAGGATGAGGAGGAGGTAGCAGAGAGCCTTGTTGAGTTGAGCAAATACATAGTTTTGTCTTTCCCCCTTGCACATAACCTTCCCAGAATCTTGTTTGCTTAGAAGTAAACAATTTTAACACCTACTTCTTGCCTGGTGAAATAGGTGCCATAGACGAAAGATTTGACAGGCCCCATCTGTCTCCTTTGGGTTTGCCCAGTGAACGCAACGCATTGCAGATCTTTCTGAAAGTGGTTGGGACATACATTCTTATGTTAGTTCTTTATAGTGACAATATGGATTAATTATAAAAAGGCAAGACATTCCTTTGATAACTTCTTGAAGTCCTCTGTAAAAAGAGCTATGTGCATTATAAGGAACTACCTCTTGCAGGAATGGGATGAGTAAAGTGAGACCATTCTCTTGTAACGAAGATGGAACAGAGGAGTTGTTCTGAGGACATTTGTTCAAATGCCCAGGAAATTGATGACTAGAAAGAAATTTGCTTTTGGGTTTTTTCTTATTGTTGTCCACTGCTTAGATATTTCAGCAACGGGGTCAGTTCTTAAAAGACATGCATCTATATAAATAGCGAAAAGAGAGAACTCAAAGAGAAAAACATTAACATTTACCCTCTTATTTCTGCTGGCCGTCACTCTGTGGACACGAAACATGAGCATAACTGAAAAGAAATCTTTCCACTGTATCTGTCCCCAAACCTCTCACCCTGGCCTGTGAGAATGCATTGCGCGCGCGCACACACACACACACACACACACACACACACACACACACACACACACACACACACACACACACACACACCCCTCCTTCCAGAACCCCTCTCCCACATTTGCCTGTGTCTGCCATGCCATCCCATCCTGGGACTCACCAGCTTGCTCCTCACCCTCTGCCCCCCATTTGCACTTGTTTCCTCTCTGGCCAGCTGCCCCGGGAGCCTGGGGCACCCCCGCTGACTCCCTCAGCCCTGTGTGTGATCACCATCTTATCTGAGTTGCTCCCTGGCCCCTCTGCATTAAATATCAAATACATACAGACTTTCTGTTCCCTGTACTCTGCTTTTACTCTCCTCCATAGCACTTTTATATTATTTTGTTTTTGATGCTCGCCCCTCTAGAATGTAGTTGTCATATGAACACGGTCATGCTCTATGTGCCTCATTTGCTGCACTGCCCCCAGGACCTCCAGCCTGGAACATGGAAGGCGCAGCTCTTGTTCAGTGATTTATGTTGTTTAAACCTGCAGAGCCCTGGCTTTGCCTCGCAATGAGAAGATGCAAAATCCCAGAGTGTGCTTCCCCAAAATGGGCAAATAAGAGGGTGATTATTCCCACTGTTGAGGAAAGGTAACCACAGTGGAATTGTTTAATAGGCACATTTTCTCGTGCTTCTAAAATTGTATTCACTTTGCACAGATCTCATGCGTGTGCATATCCCCGGGAATATTTTCATTGTGTTTTCAGGAGGGTTCTTCTATATTCCTGGTATGTGAAGTACTTATTATCAACTGTCAGTGCTGTTGTCTGGAATTAATTCACATATTCTACCCAAGGGTGGTACAAATTTTTAGATACCCTTAGGACTTAAACATTTTCAGTATCCCATTCCACATGTCACAGTGGTAAAAGCATCATGAATTTTGTGTAATTTTTTTTTTTAGGGAAAGAAATGAATATTATTTTAAAACATGCAAACCACATTTACTGCTGGCATAAATGTACACATAAAAGCTACACTCCCCTTTCCTTCAGGATCACCTTCAAAAAACTGAGTCTGCCTCCTTTGCTTTGCACCTAAAGACCCTGATAAATCAGTGTTGCGGTTGGCCCTCACTCAGCCACCCTGCTCGTCTTCACCCCGCTGGAGCAGCCTTAGGGCTAGTTTCCGTCCTTCCCTTCTGTCCAACCTGTGCCATAGGTTGTAAGATCTCAAATGACTGGGCTCTGTTCTGAAGGCCTTGGATTTAGAACTGGCCCGGCTTTCATCTTTTTTCTTGAAATACTCAGCCTACTTTCATTTCAAGATCCATTTTGTATGTTTTTCTAAAACTTTAAGGTCAGTCATGTGTATATATTCCCAAACGAGTGTGTATCGATGCATCTGCCTAACGTGCCGGGACTATCTCAGTTCCTCTGGGTTCTTTTCATTTCTGGCTTCCAGTTGTCTGTCCTGGGGTGAAGTAGAGGTGGGCCTCCCGTCTTGCTGCTGGTCCTCCCATCCTTTATCACTGTGCACATGTAACTCGGGTAGTATTTCCTCTTCATTCAAAATTCCTGGCCTCCTCTTAGGCCATCATCAATCTGTGTCTTTTGTGTATATCAAATCAACGTGTGAGTCAAACATCAGACTTGGTATGTGACCTTGATGGTTGATCTGAACTGTAATTGCCTCACCTCTAACTAACCCTTGTGGTAATGTTTGGCTTTGGCCTCAGAGAAGCATTATTGCTAACAATAGCAGCGCTTTGCATTGTTGCCAGCTTGTGTTTTTACAAAACACTTCCACATCCTTGCTGCAGCCAAGGTAAGGTCCTAGGTTCAGGCAGCACGTAAGCTGGGGCACGTCTGGATACCCATAGCGCAAGAATTCTGCGTGCTCATTTATACAGTACTACTTTGCCCTTTTTGCTGTGAGTTTTGGAATTGTTTGTATTATTAAATATTTCTCATGTTTCTAACTGGACAGTTTTCCTGGCTCTGACCCTTTTGGCAAATGCTGGATGAAGGCTATTGAGGTCCATGCTACAGGTCACGAGGAGGAGGGGTGTTCGGGTAGTACCTTGTAATGTCACCCCTGCGGAGTTAGGGCACCACAGTGGTGGGGGCCAACGTCAGCCTCCAGGTCGCCCTGTGTGATGCCAGACAGTTTGGCTTAAATGCGTGGGACTTGGGACCTGCCTGGCCCTTGGTAGCCCCTCTCAGTCCTGGTTGTGCGAGTCGCTGTGGCCAGTAAGCTAAGGTGCTGGCTCTCTGGTCAGACTCTTTGTGGTCAGTAAAATGTTTACTAAAATTGTCATTGGACTTGGAGCAGCTGAAGCGAGCCGCATGGTGTCTGCGCTTGGTTGGGGGTGGGGGGCGGGAGCTCTACCCGGCTCTCGGCTGCAGACACGCAATCGCTGTCAAAAAGGAACAGTTGAGAAGAGAGAAGAATCATCACTTGTCTTTTCTCTTCTCCAAAGTTTGGGAGCCTCTGGTGGGACAAGTACGTGGGATTCCTACAGCGACCATTTCACCATTGAGACCTGCAAGGAGACAGACATGTTGAACTACCTCATCGAGTGTTTTGACCGAGTCGGAATAGAGGAGAAAAAAGCACCAAAGGTAAATGAAGAAAATCATTTTTTTGAAAAAAGCACAAAGGCCTCGTTCATTATTTGAGAAGTAATCTCTCCCCGCCATGGAGATCGCTCATTCACTTACTCGGTCCATGGGTCAGTCAGTAAACAGTCACCGTGTGCCAGGTGCTGTGCCAGGTTCTGTGCCAGCACTGGGGGTGGACCAGTGACCAGAGCAAAGCCGCCCCTGCTGTGGTGAAGCCCACCTCCTACCAAAGGAGAGAAGGAGCAGGGCCAAGTCACATCCTCACCAGTGATGACCCGGCCTTGATAGTTTGAGATGCTCTGTATGAGCTTGATAATAGTAACCGACATTTACAGAGAGCCCGGCGCTGTGCTCAGCCTGTATTAGCTCAGATCTCACAGTTGTTCAGACATCTGGTGTAACCGTATTATTTCTTCCACTGTATGGACAAGAAAATGAACCTCAGAAAGATCAAATAATTGTCCAGAATCACATAAAAAGTTAATTGCAAAGCTGCATTTAAACTCAGGAAGCTATGCTTTTCCTGCTCTTTCATGCTGCTGCATTATTCTCGTTCATTCCTGTGTCATTTTCTAGTCCTAGCTTTCCACTGACAAGGAGTCCAGTTGCCCACTGTATCTGTGAAGGACTCTCTGGGGTTGGTTGCATTTCAGCAACAGCAACGAGGGCGGGGGTATATCTCCGAGACTCCTGGGTAGCCGTCGCTGACTCGCCAGCATGCCATTCGTTACTCTGGTTTGTTCATCTGAGATAGAGAAACGAAAGAGCTTACCATTGCCTAGAGTGCCGTGTCTTCTGACTCCCGTCAGCTTTCAACAGCGTGGGATTATTTTGTTTGTCTCTGGCCCTAACCTCCACCTTCTTTTCAGATGTGCAGCCAGCCCGCAGTCAGCCAGCTTCTGAGCAACATCCGTTCACAGTGCATATCCCACACTGCGTTAGTACTACAAGGTTCCCTCACACAGCCAAGGTAGGAGAACAGCCTGTGCTGGGGGTGGTGGGGAGAGGACGCCGGCCTTCGGTGGCGGCAGCTGTCCAGCCATTTTGCACTACTTTGGAGAACTCACTTTGTTGCCTCTAAAACAAACACGGTTGACTAGATAATCTCTCAAGTCCCTTTTCTTCTCTAAAATACTATGATATTAAGACAGTCTTTCCTTCCTTGTCTAAGGTAGTGTGAAACCCATTTTAAAAGAAGTTAATTATGTTTTAAGAGTTCTTTTACTGACATGGATCATTGTCGAAGTCTGTGGGCATCCAAGCAGGCACTGAGCAATTTAGCGTAGAGGCAGCTGCTTGGAATCTGGAGATATTTGGCAACTCTTCCGAGTCTCCTGCTCCTTGGACCACACAGTCTGTTGTCCAATAAGAAAGACAGCGGGGGACAGAGGGCTCGGAAAGCACCCCCAGTGTGACATGATTATTTGCCTGTTTCCGAGGGGCCGATAAAGGTTTCAAGTTTAATGAAAGATTGTGTATTTCATTTCTTTTATGCAAAAATATCTGAAGGAAAAGTGACGAAGTTACAACTTTTATTCACTCTTCATTATCTTATTTCCTGAGCTATAAGCAAATGTTTTTAAAAATTATCAAAAAGAATGGAAATGATACATTTACCAAAACTTAAAAAGTGTTTCATGGCTAAAATTAATAAAGGTTTTTAAAATCCTCAGCCGCTGCTGATCCTTTTTTCCAGTTGGATCAGGCATAAGTCGCTAAGTAAAAGAGGCATAAAGTAATGCTTTATTTTAAAGAATCGTATGTAGGGAAAGATGAATTTTTTTGAAATGTCATGCAGTCTCCCATTTGTACGACAAGAAACAGTTCTTAATAAGAAGTTTGATCTTTTGCTTAAACCGCTCGTGTAGAATATTCGAGAGATTTAAAGTCTGACTGTTGCCGGGCCGTTGCCGCTGACTGATGCGCCATGTGTTCTGTTGTTCTGTGGTAATGAGCCATTCATCTCAGCCTTGACCTTGGTGGGTCCGCAGGTCCATGCAGCAGCCGTCCTTCCTGGTGCCGTATATGCTGTGTAGGAATCTTCCCTATGGTTTCATTCAAGAACTGGTGAGAACCACTCACCAGGATGAAGAAGTGTTCAAGCAGGTAAGGTTTTGTGAGTTGCTATGGCAACTCTTAGCCTAGAAGCTTCGCTGCCGAGGCAGATTTCTAAATACACCGTATATTGAAAACTTCTGTTCTTGAATTTGAACATGCGTGTGTGATTTGCTCATACAAGACCTGCCTGAGATGCCTTTCCTGAGGAAATAAGATTGACAGCAACATTGTTCATATCACATGCTCATTTCTACCAGTCAGTCAAACTTCGAGTCTTTTAAGCAGGGTTCTTGCTAAGTGCTTTGGGAGACAAGAAGAAATAGAAAGCCCTGTCCCTGGATTCAGGGAGCTTTTAACATAAGAACAGCAAGAGATGGCATTTGCCAAATGAGTAGTATTGAAAGTTAGTGCTCTGAGTTTACAAAAAGAGATTAATAAATTAGTGACCAAGTCAGCTCAGCAGCAGTCTGCACGCGCCATAAAATCTGTGTCTTTTTGCTACTAAACTAAGAAGGTTGCCTGATAAAATACTAATTATTTCATTCTGTTAAGTATTCGTGCATTTTTATATCTTGTCAACTGAAAATGCAGCTCAGATATTTATTTATTTTTTGCATAGAACTGAGGTGCAGGCCAAAGGTGCAAGGGAGTGAAAGGACTCACCAGAGACAGAGTGGGGAGCAGAACAGGCGGATCTACTGAAACACATGCTGAGGGGAGTGGCAGGGAGACAGGAGAGGTCTGCTGCGCCATGTGGGTCAACTCTGGCTGGGGATCGAACTCAGGCCATCGAGGTGGGCCATTGCAGTGGTAGCGCTATAGCTCGGATATTTAATAATACAAATGGCTGGTCTTGAAAGTTTCTTCCAAGGTCAAAGTTTGCCATTACATTCTGTTGCTGTTTTGTGGTAAAGTCAGCACTTGCCAAAGAGCTTTCACACAAACTGCTGCCCTTGATGGAAGGATTTTAGGATGTTTTGGTACGTTTTCCTGTATGATCATTTATTTCTTTTTCTTTGACTTGAAAGAATAGCAGAGACAGTAGCTTGGATTGGCATGATTCCTTTCAGTCAATCTTAACCTAATATACCCAATATTATATAATATTCAGTCAATCTATACCTAATATTATTCATGACTATTTGTTTTAAGGCCTCTGGATTCTTGGGAATTGTGTTTTCCAAATATTAGTAAAAGAAGAATCTGGAGTTAAAGCCCAGCTGGTGTTGTGTCCTCTGTATCTGTTATTCATCAACAGCTTGTCTTAGGTGACGGTCTGGTTGCCTTATAGGACTAAGGCGGCATCTGGAGAAATAAGTGAATGCAGATGGAAATAAAGAATTGCCCCAGGGGCCTCCCTGGTGGCACAGGCAGTTGAGCGCAGCGCTTAGAAGCTGTTAGTGCTGGTTCAATCCCTGCCGGCCTCAGAGCAAGCCACATGGCAGCAGATCTCTCCTGTCTCACCCGCTGCTCCCCTCAGCAGTGTATTTCATCAGTCTGCCTGTTCTGTTCCCCGCTCTGTCTCAGGTGAATCCTCTCACCCTCCCACATATCTGGCCTCTACCCCGGTTCTTGTATAAATAAAATAAATCCTTAAAAAAATAAAATAAAATAAAATAAAGAACTGTCTTGGCAGGTCTCAGTGACACTTCTGTACATTCATTACCAGGCTCTACCTACTCAAGAAGACTTCATTTGAGGAACCAGTATAGCCTTACCAGCCCAGTGGACGGCTGAAAATTTTGGTCATAAGTGTACACAGAGCTTATAAATGACCTTTTTTTTAAAAAAATCAAAATGAAATCCACATAACATAAAATTAACCTTTTGAAACTATACAGACAGTTCAGGGGGCCTCTCTGGTGGCACAAGGGGTTAAGCGTCAGCACTATGAAGCAGTCCGCAGCTACTGCAGCACGAGTTCAATCCCCGACCAGGGAGCTGAACCCACATAGAGCAGCAGACCTCTCCTGTCTCCCCGCTGCTCCCCTCAGCAGTGTTTTCCAGTCAATCCACCTATTCTGTTCCCCACTCTGTCTCTGGTGAATCCTCTCACCCCCCCCCCCACATCTCTGGCCTGCACCCCAGCTCTTCTATGCATAAATAAATAAATCTTTTTATTTATTTATTATTTATTTTTTAAAAAGATTTATTTATTTATACAAGCACTGGGTACAGTCAGAAGCACAGGAAGGTGAGAGAATTCACCAGAGCCAGAGCGGGGAGCAGAACAGGCAGAAGGACCGAAGTACACTGCTGAGGGGAGCAGCGGGCGGCAGGAGAGGTCTGCGCGCCATGTGGGACCCTTGCCCGGCGGCCGGGGAACAAACCGGCGCTGTAGAGGCTGCGGGCAGCTTCTCAACCCAGCGCTCAACAGCTGCGCTACTGGGGAGGCCCTAAATAAATAAATCTTTTAAAAAAGAAAGTATATAGTTCAGGAGGGTTTAGTACATCGATGATGTACGACCACTCCAGCCCTGTGTGTGTTAATCATGGAATTCTGGTGCCTTTTCTGCTGTTTGATCTGAAGACTCCTTCTCTTTCCTTCTCTTTCCTCTTTGAGTTTGTTCCAGAGAAGAGTGATGAGTGAAAGTGATGAGTTGCTAAAGTGAAAAAGTTTGAGGCGTTCAAAGAAAACACCTAGCAGCTAGAATTTAGAATTAGAAATGAATACTTTGTAGCACATTTTAAATTGTATCATTTAAATGCATTGATTACATTGAGGTAACACTGGTTTATAACACTGTATCCGATTTAGAGGTATAGGCTCACCCCTCTTTAGATGTATGTTACCACGCCACTCACCAGTTAGGTTTCAAGAGTTTATTTTGGTTGAGTTTTGTCAGTTTCTTTGTTTTGTTTCTTTGTATTCCATGCATGAGTGAAATCATCATGCATCTATCTTTCTCCTGCCTCATTTGCTTTGCATAATCCCCTCTGGTTACTTCCACGTTGTCACAAATGGCAAGATTTCATCTTTTAGAGACATGGATGAATGGATGGGTGGATGGCTGGCTGGCTGGATGGCTGGCTGAGTGGTATTCCATTTTATGTACACCACATTTTCTTAATCCACTCATCTGTTTTTGGGCATTTAGGTTATTTCCATTGTAAATAAGGCTCTAGTGGACACAGGAGTGCATAGATCTCTGAATTAAAGTCATATAAGCAGTATAATGTTTGACTGTTTGAAAATTATTGTGTTTAGTAATTTTTTTCTGTTTACTACAAATTCAAGCCTACTTGCAAAAGAGGGTAACTCAGCTAGAAAGAGTAAAGATGGTTTCCTTTCTGGATAGCATTCCCTGAAAAATGTGCTTATAGATTTTTTTGAGATGACCAGTTCTTTATGAAAATAATTGTGTTTGATGATTCTGGAATGTCTGTTCTTTTTTCTTGATTGCAACTTTGGTTTTCCCTGTCCCTACCGCTCCATTTTTAGCTAGCTTATGAAAACACATTACTTCTACCCTAATTGTTTGAGTTGCCAAAGCTAGAATGATCTCTTCCAGAAGTGTGTTTATCTCGGGGTTCTCTGGGGCACCTCAAATCACTGTGCTCCTTCAATCACAAAGATGCTTAATACAATGGGAGGAAATTAGGAGGAAAGGGAAGCTTTCAGACTTCCCTGTGACTTTACAGAACACTCCCTTTTTCAGCCTGTCGGCGTCCGGATTGCCGGCTGTGGTTTGCAGCATTTTCCACATAATGCTATTAGTCTTGAATCCCAACCAGCTCCCTGAATGTGTTCATCACTGAGTGCACTGTGAGGCTTGAAGGTGAGCTGTGTGGATCAAAACTTGTAGTCTCCTTGTGCCCTGGTGTTACTGCTAACGTGTAACAATGACTCTGAGTTCCCCTACGTGCTGACATCAGGTGACCGTATTAACTACGCCACGCGTGGAGGTCAGCCTGTCAGAAAAGTTTGCTTTTCCATGGTCAACATTATCAGCTCTCTCTTTGCTCTACCTAATGAAAGTTAATATAATAATAACAGGCACAATGGGTCTGTTTTGCTTGTGCTCTTCAAAATAAGCAGGGAGAGATGGAAACAATTAGATGGAGACGGTGGGTGGCAGCCAAGGGTTTTTTGAAATATTAATCGAATTGCAAAAATATTGGAACATTTAGTCCAGTTCCTTTGCAAATGATAGGTAGGTGGTAATCAGAAACATTATCTGCTGCTGAGGGGTACAGGCTGGTTGGTTGGAGTGGGGGGCCCCCCACAGAGCCCTGTAGCAGGCTCCAAATTGTAAATCTAGCAAATCACGGAAGACTTGCCACAATTTTAGGGCTCACCAAGCCCTGTCACTTCTAGAGAATCCAGCTGTGTTGCTTCATGGCTGGATTCTGGAATCCCGTCCACGTAAAACAGCTTTTCCTCAAGGAAAGAGTAGAAATGCCTGGACATTCAGATCCAGCACTCAGTTTGACATAACTCACGCTCCTCAATGTTCTTACCCTTATATTTCCAATTTTGTTGTCCTGTTATCTCTTGCAGATCTTTATCCCCATTTTACAAGGCCTGGCTCTTGCTGCCAAAGAGTGCTCCCTGGACAGCGACTACTTCAAGTACCCGCTGATGGTAAGACTTGCCTCTTCTTGAACTCATTCGGCAGATGGTTTTAACATACCCTTTCCTCCAGACCTGTGGTCAGCCTTGTTTTCACGTTGAAAGCTTGGAATGACCATGTTGGCCACGCGGGACACTGGGTGTGCAATGAGAGGCGGCCCACACGCCTCTGCCGGGTCCACCGCTGGCCTCAGGTGCCGTCGTCGCCCAGCTAGCTGGGCCTCGGTCGACCTCAGAGCTTCTGAAAATGACCAGTATGGGTGGCAGCCTTTCCTTTCTAGCAACGAGTAGCCCATACCAGAGGTGAAATTTTGTTATAGAAAGAAGAAACTATTATAGATGCAGGTTACAAGGCAGAGTCACACTGTGGAAGGTGGTTCATTTTTATCTCTAGGTCATGCTTTCTGTAGATCAGCTCAGAGTGATTCTCCTACTCCTCTTCGCTTTCCAAGGCTGTGAGCTTCTCTCCAGGCTTTGCTTGGAGTCAGAGCGTTTCGCTCCCGCAGGCGCTGGGAACAGCCTACACTGTACACATGAATCTCAGTTAACTGCCCGGCAGGGCCTTGGCATTGGGACAACACTGGGGCCGGAATGTAAATAAGAGCCTCTCTTCTTCTCTGAATTTGTTGCTCTGGAATTTGGGAAGAAAAATACTTTAGAGTATTACTGAGTATTTTTTATTCTAGAAATATGAAGGGGAAATGATAAAATATGAGATGCGTTAACTCTGTAGAAATACAAGCTTGTGTAAATTGAGGCCTTGGGATAAACTGCTATTTTTTACTGCCATTATTCATCTTTCTCCCACTACCAACTGGATTCCCTCTTCATTGCTTTCTGAGGTGCTCTCTGGGCCTCATGCCGGGGACACAGGAGCTCACGAGGCAGGGTCCTTTCTGCAGGTGCTCGTGATCTGCACAAAGCCAGACCACTCGACACCGTCAGACAAGAGCACTGATAGATGCCCGCTCGGAGGTGTGCAGAGGAGCGTAATCTGTTTTTATTTATTTATTTTAAGATTTATTTATTTATGCATACAAGAGCTGGGGTACAGGCCAGAGATGTGGGGGGTGAGAGGATTCACCAGAGACAGAGTGGGCAACAGAACAGTTAGACTGACTGAAATCCACTGCTGAGGGGAGCACCAGGGAGACAGGAGAGGTCTGCTGTGCCATGTGGGTAGGTTCCTGGCACGATTGACTCAGACTGACTCGCAGGCTGTGCTGCATAGCTTCATAGTGCTGAGACTTTAACCCCTTGCACCACCTGTATCTGTTTTTAAAAAGTACAAATGATAATACCCAGAGCCATTAAAGGAGGTGTTTAGAAATTAGAAGGTGAAATGGGGATTCTTTTAAATATAATTTTGTGTACTCCCGGTGGCCTAGGGGTTAAGTCTCAGCACTATCACCGCTGCGGCCTGAGTTCCATCCCTGGCCAGGGAGCTGACCCACATGGCACAGCAGACCTCTCCTATCTCCCCACTGCTCCCCTCAGCAGTGTGTTTCAGTAGATCCACCTGTTCTGTTCCCCACTCTGTGTCTGGTGAGTCCTCTCACCGCCCCGTACCTCTGACCTGCACCCTAGTTCTTCTACACAAAAAGTAAATAAACGTAATTTTGAGTGGATTGTGTCAGGACTCTTTCCCTTGCACACGTCCTTCAGGTTCCTGATGAAATTCTGTGACTTATGCACTATTCTGTCTATGGCAGATGAAAGGAAGTGGAACAATCTGATTGTTGGAAGTCAGCGACGAAATATTTCCTTGCACTTTAATTATCACAGCTGCGTAAATATCCCTTCATGGAGTTGTTGGCTTTCTCTTGTGGTCTAACTAGCTTGATGTTCCAGTGAGGAGCTTTCCGTGTCAGACATCAGCGAGCTGCTTCTTGGTCAGAAGACAAAGGCCTCCGTTCTGCTGAACAGTCGTTTTATTTTGTGCCATTATTGATGCTTGTACAACAATGAGAGTGCAGTGAGGGGAAGGATAGTGACGAGAGACAGGAAGAGGAAGCTGCTGGAGCGAACAGAGCCAGCTATGATTCCTGCCTAGGCCACTGCAGCCAGCTGTGCCCACTGTGCAGTCACCTGGGGGTCTTGAAGACATCCCATGCCCACCTCGCAGACCTTGCGATTTAATTCCTTGAGGATGTGGGGGGAGTGAGGCCTGGCGCTGGGATTCTTAAAGGCTTCTCAGGTGATCTCATCGCAGCCAAGTTTGGGGGACTCTGCACAGGGGTTGCGAGCACTCTCTTCCCAGCGGCTCCCTGGTTGCTAGTGGCTTCTCAGAGCTGTCGTGCCTGGGTGAGTTCACCCAAACACTTCGCTTTAGCAACACTTAGCTTTGTCCGGACCACAGAGGACATTCAATCCACAGTCAAAATGGTATTTGATTGAATTACTGTGACCGTGTTAAACTGGATGCCCCTAAAACTGCTCCTAGTTCTCCCATGTGAGAGAGCGGTCACTCTGAAGGGAAATCAAGCTCTTAGCATTACTAGAACTCTCGAAAGCAAGTGACACTTCTAAACGTGTTCTGGATTTGATGGCTTGTTAACTGTAATTACCTATCATCCTCCATAGCACTGGCAAGACAAGGCATCTAAAATCTACGAAGCATCTCTTTTTGATGTAGAAAGCCATTACATGAAAAAGTCATTTTGAAAAATAGACCTTTATCTCTGTGCATTTGCACAAAAATATCTCTGGAAAACTATTAACCAAATTATCACTAGAGGTTCTCTCCAGGAGGAAAGTGTATGAGTGAATTTTCTGTTTCATTTTATCTTTCTGTTTTATCTGAAGTTTTTTATAGCATACAAGTTTATTAGAGAAGTAGTGCAGCTGTCAACATTTTGGAGGGAAGGCCTGTGTCTGAACAGCAGCAGCTAAAGCTCTTCCTCCCTGTTACACGTGCAGTGAGTTTAAGATGACATCCAATGACGTGACTTTCTCTGGTCTTATTTCTAGGCTTTAGGGGAGCTCTGTGAAACCAAGTTTGGAAAGACACACCCTGTGTGCAATTTGGTAAGTTCCGCCTGGTGGGCTCACAGGCTGTGAACACACAGCCAGGACGTGTTCCTTGGCAGCATCACCTAGAAAAGGTCTCTCGAAGGACATTTACATGTAGACGGAGCTGACATGTGTGGGTGGCTCTCAATGGTCAAATTGTGATCTTAAGCATTATCTCATGGGATTTGCTTTCTGCTGTGATTTTTTTGGGGGGGGTAAGTTTTGTGCAAGAAGAATAACAAGTCCTCTGAGAAAAATTGACTCGAGCCTTTGGCAATATCAGAACCGTCCTCTGGAGCCCTATCTATCAGAGGATCTGGAAGCACAAGAAGTTTAAAAACATCTTGTAAAGTTGCAGGGGAGTTTGGAGGGGTCTCCTCTCCAGGGGGGAGGCAGGACCAGCAGAAACCCTGGAACATATGTGAGCCCCGTGTTCGTAGCTGTCCAGCGTCGGCCATCGGTGCTGGCGGCTGAGAACCAGCGCACGGGGTAGCTGTTGAGAGCTCTGCTCGTTACATTTTGGCCTCACTCGCTGACTTAGCAGCTTGACTTGCCTCTTCGTTTTTTTGCATAGGTCGCTTCTTTGCCGCTGTGGTTGCCTAAGTCCTTAAGCCCTGGCTCTGGGCGGGAGCTGCAGAGACTCTCTTATTTGGGGGCTTTCTTTAGCTTCTCGGTCTTTGCAGAAGATGATGTAAGTATAGTAGCATTTGCACTTTGCCGCTGTGATGTTCACATGCCTTCCCAAATGTGCATTATATGTTGACGGAATTGTTTCCTTTTTCCTCCAGGCTAAAGTGGTTGAAAAATATTTCTCAGGCCCTGCCATTACCCTAGAAAACACGCGTGTGGTTAGCCAGTCGCTGCAGCATTACTTGGAGCTGGGAAGGGTAGGTGTACAGAAATTGGAGGGAAGCCAAAGGAGGGATATGACTTCCATTCTGAAGCTTAAAAGCAGCAAAATTATAGGCTAATTATAGCATCGTGGAGGTAATTTTGATCCTATCCTGGAAAGGAAATAGCAAAGGCTATTTTATTAAAACTGTAACTACCTCCCTCCTCTCCACATTCTGTTTCCACGCTAATTATTTTGACACAGTTGAATGTGGACGGTTCTTCTGCTCTCCTGTCAGGGCCTCCTAAAATGAGTACAAGTGGGAGAGGGCAGTGGGAAAGAGGCGAATTGTTCTTGAAGTCAGAAAGAAATCAATTTTACAATAAAGTTTTCTTTTTCTTCTTCCCTTTTAAAACAAATTTCAGCAAGAACTTTTTAAGACTCTGCATAGTATTTTGTTAAATGGCGAAACCCGCGAGGCTGCTCTCGGCTACATGGCGGCCGTTGTCAATGCCAACATGAAGAAAGCGCAGATGCAGGTAGGGTTCCTGCGCCTGCCCCTCCCCCTCACGTCTCTCCACCCGGCTCATTTATTGGGTCCTGCCCAGGGCGTTCCAGGGATTGGAGGTGTGGTGTGAGCGAGACAGGGCAGTGCTTGGCCACTGCAGTGCCCATATCCTGCAGGGCAGGCGAGCAGGCTTGCCAGTCTGTCACTTCAGACAGTCGTGGTCTGTAAAGCCAGTAAAGCCAGGCAGAGCTTGAGAGTAACCGTGGAGGTACCAGCAGAAAGTGGCGGTGTGGTTTTTGATCGAGTCACAGGGAAGGTCCTTTAAGGAGGTGACATCTGATCAGAGACTTGACTGGCAAGAGTCAGTATCACAAGACTAGGAAAAGAGCTGGCTGGATATGTGTCAGGCACTAGGTGGGAAAGAACTAGCTTTGGCAAAGCCCCACACCAGGGCTTTGTGGCTGGAGGACCGTGAGCAGGAATGAGGATTGTGGGTCATGGGGTGGGAGCGACAGCATCTCCATCAGCTCAGTACTGTGATGAGAACTGTAACTGGAAGCCGGTAGAAGGTTTTTAGCAAAGCCCGAATCTGCTGTGCAGAGAAGGGGCTGAAGAGGGTGCAGGGGGTGGGGCAGAGGCAGAGGCAGACCCAAGGACCAGTCTCCAGCTTTTAAGCACACCAGTCCTGTGAGGGAAACTGGTGTCTTGGCCACTTTGCCATAGTAGAGAAGTTAAAAGGTGTCCTGCCTATATCATTAGTACATCATGAATGAATGAAGTGACACCTCCACACAGCAGGGGGAGGAAGGCGTAGACCAGAGTGTGCGTTGGTAGGAGAGCCTTGATCTCTAACTGTGGTTCCCCCCCGACACGCACAGAGGAGAAGGCAGACACTTAAACTTCTCTGTGCCTCAGTTTCCTAAGTGCCACGTGGTGATAATAACGGTGTCTAACTTGTGGGCTTACCATGCAGAGCTGTTAGAATAGAGACCAGTCCATAGTGAACGCTCAGCTGACCGGGTCATCACAGTACTGTATGAGGGCCCTGCTGCCATCAGCTAGCAAAACTCTCAGCCAGTAAACGAGAAGGAAGCAACGGTTATTTTTCCCCTTTCTGATTTTGAGAATATGTACGAGTCATTGAATTTCTCTGGACCTTAGTTTCCCCCCTGTATGTGAATAACAGGATCACTGACTTCTAAGGGCTGTTGTAAGCATTCAGTGAGAGAATATTTCAAATGCTTCTTATTTGATTACTGTTTAGCAAGTGTCACCTACTAATAGCAAGACAGTGGTGAGACGTCTGTCCTCTCAATGGCTTTAGGATGACCCTTTGGTCACCTTATAAAGTTTTTTATTTTTAAAGATTTATTTATGCATATAAGAACTGGGGTACAGGCCAGAGGTGCGGGGGTGAGAGGATTCACAAGAGACAGAGTGGGGAACAGAATAGGTAGATCCACTGAAATACACTGCTGAGGGGAGCAGTGGGGAGACAGAAGAGGTCTACTGTGCCATGTGGGTCAGCTCCCTGGCTGGGGATGGGACTCGTGCTGCAGTGGCTGCCGAGAGCTTCATAGGCTGCGTCTTAACCCCTTGTACCACCAGGGAGGCCCAGTCACCTTATAAAGTTGACCAAGATTGCCATTCAAATCATTATTTTAAATGCTTGTTTTCATATTTCACAGACAGATGATAGATTGGTGTCAACGGACGGATTTATGCTGAATTTCCTTTGGGTGCTGCAGCAGCTGAGTACGAAGATCAAGTTAGAGACTGTGGATCCCACGTACATCTTCCACCCGAGGTGCAGGGTCATCCTCCCGCACGACGAGACGCGGGTGAACGCCACGATGGAGGACGTGAGCGGGTGGCTGGCCGAGCTGTGTGAGTGAGCTGCCATGCGGGGTCACAGCAGCGCCTGCGTGCGTCTTTGCTTCCTTGATGTGAACGCCAGCAATTCCTCACGAATCGTATTCATCTCTTCAGAAAATGAGTTTAGAAGCTAGAGAAACACAGTAAAAAACTGAGTGTAGTGAAAAAGTTCTTACTGGGATTGTCTAAAATCCCATCAGCACACAGAACAAATGGAAGGAAATAACCCTGTTCTGAGTAAATGGACACACACACTTATAACAAATGGTAGCAGTTACAGATTTCTGTCTCTTTTTCTTTTTTTAATTATGTTTTTTTCTTACATCATTGTAGTCCCCAGAGTTCTCCTGCCACCATATCACCCATGAACCATCACCGTAGTCCCTTGTGTTCTTACCTCCCCTGTTTTAGCCCCACCCCTTGCTGTATGCCTCAGTTCTGAGTCAGCATCCCAGTTATGTAGATCTTTACATGCCAGTTAAAATGCTCATGTACTGTTTCATGCATGTTAATGAGTTGGCGGTATTTAAATATGAATAATTTGAAGGTATTATGGTAGTTGATCTTTTTCCCTTCCGTATTGTAAACGTGCTATTGACTAGCAGGCATTGGAAGCCTGTGGCATGTGTTGTGTAAATAGTGTAAGATTGTTCCAGCATGGGGGGCAGGCTCCTTACCCACCTGGCAGTGTGATGTTATGCATTCTAGAAAGAATTTAGCGGCCATCAGCACTGCATGTCCAACAAACATTGAAGACAGTATTTGATTGCTGTGCTTTGAATGAGTAGCTATTAGTACAATCTTGGAAACACACCTCGTAGAATAATAATTGCAGAAGTATCAGAGGGTTAACCATTAAAAAGAAATGTAATAACGAAAACATGGGGAAAAAAAACACAAAAAACCCACAGGATTTGACCCAGCTGTGAAGGAGAGAAACTTATGTCTTCAGACATGAAGGGACAGTAGGTTTATGTCTTAATATGGTAACATACGTTTTACAGAATGCGACAAAATGAATATGTGTTGATAAGATACAAGAATGGGGAAAACATGTCTTACCACTTAAAAAATCATGCCATTCAAATTGTAGAACTGCTATTAATAAGTAAGATCCAAACTAAATTCTACCAAGAGACAGTTTTCATTTGTTTGGGAGAAAAACATAAGCTGTATATGTCATAGGAAATAAGATATATTTGTAGGAAAAAATATATACATATACTTGGAGGAATTAGATACAGATAGAAAGAAATTCAAGTTATCTATAAGTTATCTATAAGTTATCCAAAAACAAAGTGATAAGATAGAATGTAAAAAGTGGATGGCACTTAGCCGAGTCACTTAGTCTATCCTTTTATTCCGTAATTCCGCACCCGAAGCCAGGAGGGAGCAATTTCGGGTGCGTGGATCCTCCAGCACTGTTACTAATGAACACAAATTATAAATGACAAATACACCTCGCTGTAGATAAATGGCAGTGGAAGCGCCTTCTGTGATGTAACAGCATTTGAGATTCTTTTTTTTTAAGGATTTATTTATTTATGCATATAAGAACTGCAGGCCAGAGGTGCGGGGGGTGAGAGGATTGACCAGAGACAGTGTGGGGAACAGAACAGGCAGATCACTGAAACTCACTGCTGAGGGGAGCAGCAGGGAGACTGGAGAGGTCTGCTGTGCCATGTGGGTAGTTCCCTGGCCAGGGATCAAACTCGTGCTGCAGTGGTTGGCAATGGCTTGATAGTGCTATCTTTAACCTGTGCCACCAGGAAGGCCCCATTTTGAGATTCTGAGTGACGTGTGACCTGAGTTGTGGCACTGGCCGCATAAATGGGGCAGGAAGGTGTGTCACGAGGCACAGCCGCTGGCGAGCACCACCCAGAGCAGTGCCTGCTGGTCGTGGAGCTCACGGGAGTTCTGACCCCTTAGAGTGTCACTCAAGTCTGTAGCTTTTGAAAAGTGTCCTTAAAGTGTAACTTTGACTTCTGAATGATGGGTTCCCCCCCTTAGCCAGGTCATAGATTTCATTCAGGAATGATGTTGTTTTTCCTAGATGGAGACCAGCCTCCATTTTCTGAGCCGAAATTCCCTACGGAATGCTTCTTCCTCACCCTGCATGCCCACCACCTCTCTATTCTGCCAAGTTGCCGTCGCTACATCCGCAGGCTCCGGGCCATCCGGGAGCTCAATAGGTATGTATGGGGCCCTCCTGGGACTGCCACGTGCCCACGTGTTCTCACGGCATGCAGTTGGTTGTGCCCAGTGCAGGGGCTGTGGGTGCAACGTGTCACTACCCCGTCCATGTTCCTCGCTTGAACAGGCTTCTTTTTGTGGGCAGTGACCCCAACCTCAGTTCCTCAGATTTCCCAGCCCTTGGTGTGTGGTCGCTACAGACATCCATTAACTCCTTCCATCGGGCATGATGCGACCAGGAAACACGTTAAAGGCTCAGACTTGCCCCTCCTTCCCCACACTGTAAAACAGTAACTGGTTCCCCTTGAGATGCAAGATCATGTACTCTGCCGTCACGTAACCCCCTTTTTTCCTGTTGTCCCATGATAGAAGGAGTCTAAAATGTCCAGACGGTGGCCTCAGTTTCTACTCGGTCGGCACCAGTGTGGTATTTCTTAATCTAAGCATTTCTCTCCACGTCCCGCACCTCCCAACAAAGTCACAGGAACAGGAAGCAAACGCTTTTTTGAGCAGATCATTGGGGCAGGAGGAGAGCGGCCTCTTGGTCCAGGACCTGTGTGCATGTCTGACTGGACATGTCAGTGCCCGCCTCGCCTGAGTAGTTTTCAGTGCTGTGACAAAAGAAATGTCCTCTGGGACGGTGAGGGCGGGGTTCTCTGAGCTAGTCGCATGGTCAATCCACGTTAATATCCCCAACTTCTTAAGCTTTTAATTCCTTCCTCCAGTTGTCCTAAGGAATACCTGACAGTTCAGCTTCTTACAGCACAGGGCCGTGTCAGTTCCGAGTGTCAGTCAGCTAGCTGGCCCACAGCTACAGCCTCTCGGGAGGATACTAAGCCCCGACTTGCTGGTAGGCGTAATCATGTCGTACCTGCTGCATAGGACCATATTAGCAGGCTCCTCTCTCGCCGGGCAAGCTTTTTTAGAATCTGTCGGGCATCCCCATGCTTCGGTCACTAAGTTTGGTCGCTAGAATAATCATGTCCCAAAGATGTTCACAGCCTAGTTCCCAGGGCCTATGAGTAACTTACCTCACAGGGTAGAAGAGACTTTGCAGATGTGATTAAGCTCAGGATCTTGAGATTGGGGGGACTATGCTGGATTATGTAGGTGGACCCAGTGTATCATGAGGGTCCTTATCAATAAGAGGCGAGAGGGTCAGGTGGTGAGGGGATGGAAATGTGATGGCAGAAAGAGAGATCAGCCATGTGGGTCCCGGAAGGAGGAGGGCTCCTCCTCCCCGGGAGCCTCCAGAAGGAACACACCCTCCTGACTGGCCGGGCACACCAGCTTGTGGTAATGTCACAGCAGCAATAGGAAATGAATATGACATCTCGCCAGTCTTGTCTTTTTCATTGTTAATGTGCTCCTCCTGTGTGTGACTTTGTCACTGGTGCCCAAGGCGGGTCGCTGATCTCACTCGAGTTGTGGTTCTCAGACAGTGGGGGTGGTGGGTGAGGCCTCAGGGAAACTGGCAACACCCTGTGGGGTGTCTGCTTAGGCTCACTCATGGCGAGAACTCCCTCAGCTGGCAAGCAAGGCCAGGTGTCCAGGTGCGGGAGTCAGCACATCCCACACTCCGGCTCGGTTGGAATCCTCGGAGACCGGTCTGTGTCCTGATTTCAGCCTGTGTTATAATTGGGTGCTTTGTGGCCATGGGCTCTGCTTCATTATGGTCAAGTTAGACATTCCCTGGCTCACTGACTTTTCCTTGGGGTGAGTTTTTAAAATCCTGAACCTGTCTTTTGTCCTATGAGCTCTGTGGCATAGGTTGGCCAGACGTGCCCGCTCTGCATTCGGGAGATCGCTGGTGCCGCTGCTTCACGGAGGGCCTTGGGCTCCCAGGGGCCTGGCTCAAGTGCCAACTGGATCTTCACTTTTCGAGTTAGCCCCACCAAAGAACCAACAGCCCAGGTTCCTTGAGGACCTGTCACCTGCCACCTCTTGTGGAGTCAGTAGGCATGTCGGTCGTCATGTTAGTTTCCTCTTGCCGCTCCAACAAATTGCCACTTTTGTGACTGAAAACAACATTAATGATTATCTTATGGTTCTAGAGTTTAGGAATCCTAAAATTAAGACTGTGTTCCTTCCAGAGACTTCATAAAGAGTCTCTTTCCAACTTCTGGAGACTGTCTGCATTCCTTGGCTCATGGCTGCCTTCCTCCACTTTTGAAACAGCAGCGTGGCATCTTCAGATCTCCCTCTTTCCAACCCTTGCCAATGGACACCTCTCCTTCTCTTACCCCCTGTTTCTCTTAGGACCCTGTGATGCCGTTGGGCAGTCCAGACAGTCCAGGCTGATCTTCCCGCCTCGAGGTCCTTACCCTTAATCACATTTGCAAAGTCCCTTTGGCCGTGTCAGGAAACAAATGTACAGATTCTGGGGACTAAAATGGACATTTGGGGGTGGTATTTTTTCCTGTCACACTCATTTTTAGATTATAAGCCAAAGACCCCATCTTATCTGGAATAAGCAGAAAGAGGACGGTGAAAGGTAATAGTTGGTTTGCAGATTCATTGGTGTGCCGGGAAAGGAAGGCTCTGGATCTCTTCTTTGATCTCACCTGGCAGGAAGCTGCTTCAGGCAAAGCCTCTGTGCCCACAAAGAACCATGTGGCGACCACTTAGCATTCTTCACTGCTGCCTTCAGTCAGGGTTCACCTGTGGAGAGAGGCCATGTGCAGAAATGTTGCCGGCCGGGGAGTCTGGGAATGTTGCTTGAGAAACTGCGTCAGCTGTAGTTTTCTGTACACTGTCTGATAGAAAAGGGTTGAAAAGGGTTTATGACTCAGCTTTTAAACTGCACACATGTTGGGTGATTGCGGGGACTACTCTATGACAGGCGATACCTGAGCTGACACCTGGAGCAGGTGAAGGGCGGAGCCACAGAGCTTGTCTCAGAAGAACCTACTGAGCTGGGAGAACAGTTACACAGGACAAATGGGAAGCGCCATTAGTAAGGTGGCTCTTTGCTTTGGGGAACTGAGTGGGCACAGGAAGTTCAAGTTTCTGCGAGAGGCTTCTTTTCTCTCTCCTAGAAAAACATGGGAACAATTTATTTCCTACACAAGAGATTGTTATATTTCATTCCATCTAAAGTGTCATCATTTTTAAGATGTCGATTTCAGGAACCAAGAAGAAAGAAAAATGCTGTCGCTTAGACCCTGACTTTGCCTTTGCTATGACAATACTCTGATTTCAGAGGTGCTCAAGTGGGGTGGGAGCGTGTGTCTGAGAGTCACTGAGGCGATGGGCTGACACGAGGGTGATGGGCCCTGGGCGTTCTTCATTTGACTGCGGGTCTTTGATTTCAGAACTGTCGAAGATTTGAAAAATAATGAAAGCCAATGGAAGGATTCCCCGCTGGCGACTAGACACCGCGAAATGCTGAAGCGCTGCAAGACACAGCTGAAGGTTTGTGCAGCTGGCGGGGTGCACGCAGGCCGGCCTCCCGGCAGCGCTTTCCCACCCAAATGTTTGCCTTGAGGAAGCAGTTTAGTGGCTTCTTTCTTAATCTTCGTTATTCTTGCCCCCCAGGATCAAATAGTCCATTCGAAGGCTTGCCGATACCTTGCCTGCATAGCTCGATAAGAAAGTCTCGGACGGAATGTGTGTGTGCTTACGCCAGCGACAGCGTGGGTCCTTAGTGGGCTCTGTCAGCCTCACTTGACGTCACTGCTGCAACCCTCCCTTGTGGAGACCCTCCTGAGGGCACCCCACACCTCCGTGCACATATACTCTTTATTGCACTCACATTTCCCAGCACACACACCCCTCTCCCCAGAGCACACACACCTTTCCATCACACACACCCCCAGAGCGCACACACCCCAGTATGTGCACGCACACCCCCCCAGGTGTACACGCTCCCCAGCACAGCCCGCCTTGCATTTCTGCAAAAAATAAACACTAGCTAAAATTGTATGAAGAACATGTAAATAGCAAATTGGTGCGGTTTTCTTATGTTTATGTTCAAATTGCATAGCTGACTGCTGGCTGGTCACACGTACTGTTGATGAACAGGATAATATGTGGAAATTCTACCTGACTTGATTCCTGGTACAAGTTGAGATTTCTGTTTTGTTTACTAGTAGATAAAACTACTAGTTTTGAGGGGTAGAATCAACAAGATGTGTTTCAAGGAGTCATTAAGCTGTTCACATCTGTATGCCTGTGTGGTCACATGTTGGGGGGCATGGCCCTCACAGTGATCCAGAGGCAGGTGTTAGACTCCTGGAGGACAAGCATTTGCCCAAGGGCAGCTCCTTGTGACCCACAGGGACCTGGAATCCAGTGCAGATCTGTGGCTTTTCCCACTCCCTCACCCTCCCCCACCCCGTCCACCTCCTTCCACCGAGTGTGACAGCAGCATGACAGGAAGCACGGGCAGGCACGAGGCTTGGTCGCCAGTGGTTTGCATGGCATACCTTTTTTCTTCAGACAGAGAAAGTTCTTGAGTAACCACCAGCATCCTATAGGCAGTTATAGATAAAGCCCTAGAAGCTTCCTAGTCCCCACTGTGGGGATTCGGCTACCGACTAACCTCTGGGGGGCACACCTCCTTCCACAGAAACTGGTACGATGCAAGGCCTGTGCTGACGCTGGTTTACTTGACGAGAGCTTCCTCAGAAGATGTCTGAATTTCTATGGCCTTCTCATTCAGCTGCTGCTCCGCATCCTGGACCCTGCCTATCCCGAGTGAGTGGCTCCTCCCCTTCACCTCACTGGTGCCCATCTGGGCTGTGTCGTCTTTATTGTCCTTCCAAATCCATGACAAAAACCAAAGCCCTTACTCTGTCAATTCATTTTTTAATTTCCAGCTTGTACAAATGTAGACGGTGAAGCAGTAATGTGAGTGTGTTTTCCCTATTGGTTCCAGTAATAAGGGGATGTCAACACCCATTATCTGAATTTTGACAGAGTGCTTTTTAAAAATTGGCCATGAAATCGTTGACTGATAGAAAAGGAAATCTATACGTCGGAAGCTAAAAGCTGGAGATAATGGGACATTAAGCCCTCTCGACACCCGGTCCAGCAGAGTGCCCGGCTAAGAGAATGAGCTAAGAGTGTCAGTCTCCTTATCGGCAGCTGCACAGCCGCTGCGGGCAGCCATTTCTGCTTTAATTTATTATTATTGTCATTTTATTGTGGTTATGAAGTCTGGATCTCCGACATTGACGGGGTTGTCCCAAGCCCCCTGGAGTAGTGGAAATGTTATTTAAAGTACATGCCTAGACCTGCTGTCTCAAACAGCCGCATAAAATGAGCAAACATGGCCCTTTCATTTCCTTCCCATTTTATTTATTGCATTAACCTTAACAGGAAATCCAGAAAAGGAAAAACATTTCATGTCCACCCTAGTATATCCATTCTTCATTGTTCCCATTCATTTCTGGTTGTGGTTTCTTTGCTTGTGTGCTTTTTTTTTTTTTTTTTTAACCATAGTTGTATTATCAAATGAAGGCTTTTCCCAAATAAAATACTTGTTTGTTTTGATACTGGGATGTTCCTTAGCAGTTTGACATGGTGCCATGATTCCATTTTGTAAATTTTGTCTTTTTCTCTTTGACAGTGTAACACTGCCTTTAAATTCAGATGTCCCCAAGGTATTTGCAGCATTGCCTGAGTTTTATGTAGAAGATGTTGCTGAATTTTTATTTTTTATTGTACAGTAAGTACCTCGAACATATTACATAGTCCTGATCTGTAACGTCTACCTTGGATTATGAACTGTGCCTGAAATTTTATGTAGCTGCTTTAAACGAAGCCTGCCTGGAGACTAGAGAATAAATCCAACTGTGGCACCAAACCAATTCCAATAATAACTGAAAGACAGAAGCAGAATTAACAGAGCTGGTACTGATGTATTCTGTGAAAACTGAGGGGAAGTCTAATAATTGTGTGTGTTTCTGAGAAACAGAAGGAGCAAACAGCTTATAAATATCTGAGTGAACATTCAGAAGCTAAAAATACCTACATCTATATCTTGTACCAGAATTTTTCTCAATTCTAACATCGGGCAGAGAAATGGGTTGCGATCATAACCAGTGTTTGAGATTTCAAAAAAGTAAAACCATTTGTTCCATCCAACATTTTTCAAAGGTCTTTCTGGCAGGGATGGTCTTTTGTGAAACTCACCTTTTGATTTCTTTATGGTTTTGGTTTCTTTTCAAAAACTTCATAATGAGTTCATATAACATGCATGCTATGGCCGGTACTCACCTATGGCCCTCAAATCTACTTATAATGTAAATCATTACTTGAAATGCAGTGAGTAGTAGGGACCCCAGTGGCCTGGCTCCCCAGGTCTGCTGCACTCCCGCATCCCCGCTTGATGAGCCTCCCCCAGGCCGCAGGTCTCAGAGCTGACTCCTGCTCCTCTTGCCTCTCCAGATACTCTCCTCAGGTGCTTTATGAGCCCTGCACTCAGGATATTGTGATGTTCCTCGTTGTGATGTTGTGCAACCAGAACTACATCCGAAACCCCTACCTGGTGGCCAAACTGGTCGAGGTCATGTTCATGACCAACCCTGCTGTTCAGCCTCGAACCCAGAAGTTTTTTGAAATGATCGAAAACCATCCTCTCTCCACCAAGTTGTTGGTCCCTTCCCTGATGAAGTTTTATACAGGTAGGTTCCTGGGCGCCCAGGCCAGCAGGCGGCCAAAAGCCAGGGACGTGACCCTACACCTGCTCCATTCTGACGTCACTTAAAAGTGTAACCTGCTAACCCACCCCCCGCAGCCCATGTGTTATTGGTTACATTTCCCACATCATGGAAATATCACACTGACCTCTCGCCCTGCTGGTCCCTGTACTCGCACCTGTGCCTGCTCATCCCTGATGGTGAGGCAGGAACCCCTGTGAGTCAGGTGGTTAACATCGCGGTCCAGTTGGCATCAGCACATGGGCTGGTGTTTTAATCTAAGAATACCTGGTCCTTTTAGCTTTGAATTTGCAGCATTAACTTCCCAGCCTGTCCTGCAACCTAGAGTTTCAAAACTGGGTGGAGCAAAGACCTTGTTAAAAATACTTATTCTTGGGGACCCCACTCAAGCCAGTGAACCCTCTCAAAGCAGGATCTCTGAGTCATTGCTCACTCACTAATTGCACACGGTGACTCAAACGCTGCCCATGTGCCAGGCGCTGTGGGCAACACTGGCCAGTTTCGGGCACTCTGCAGGGGGCACCTCCCCTTCTGGATGAACGGACTCCAGCTCTTCAGTTTTCATTTGACTTCAGAACTGCCAGAGCATCTATCCCTAGGCAATAAAGCCAGTGCCTGGGACACCTCCTCACCTGTCCCTCGCAGAGGCACAGAACGGTACTGCTAGGACATTTTCCCTCCAGAAAAGGAAGATTTTCTCAGGAGCAGAAGTGTGTCTTGTCTCTCTTCTTGTCCTCTGTTGGACCAAGCTCATAACCACCCTCAGGGGGTACCCCGGCCTCAGAGCGTGCGTTCTGTGCCCTTGGGGATGTACCCACCGCCGGAACTCAGGGGGACCCTCCTTCTGTCAGCCCGAATCTCTCCTGTTCCTGCTGCTCTGGGAATCTACTCCTTTCCCCTCAGTCACTGTTGTCTTGTGGCATCTCATAAGCAATTCTCTCCTCCAGCGTTTCTCGCCTGCCTGTATCCTCTTGAACTGGGCAAGCACACAAGGCCTTTGGGGTGCCATTAACATCCTCACTTTGGCAGCCGCAGAGAACACACATGTACATGAACCCTCCTCGCTCCCAGCCCTCCTTGTTGTCTCAGGCCTGGTGGGGGGACCATGGACCGTTCCGGTACCAATAGCACAGCGCTCGTGTCCAGGACAGGACCTTGTGGGTGCCGTGCACGGAGCAGCTTAGGTGAAGCTAATTCCACATTTTTTAAAGTAATGATGAAGCACCACTTTTAACCTATCAGACTAATTTTCTAAAATGAAAATACCCAATACTAGCATTGCTGGAGAGAAATGAACTGGTCTGCAAAAACTGACGCCATCTCCCCTACAGCTCCTGTGCAGACCTGCACTGCGCAGCTCTATGAGAATGTAAGTTGGTGAAGCTTCTGGAGGGAGTCTGGCAGCTTGTAGCCTGTATGTCCATCCAGGGCCGGTCAGGGAAGCAGAAACATGCTAGTTACTTTAACAGAGTGAACTGAACGCAAGTGAACTGAACAGCTGTTGGAAGACAGGAAGGCAAGTAAAGGGCCTTTGGGTATCTGCAGGTGCAGGGAGCAGTGCTCCCTCCCCCGGGCTGGCATCCAAGGGGACAGGCTGGGTTGTTGGAAACTAGCGGCTTGACTGGGACCTCGGACAGAACTGAGGCTTGCCCTCTGGGAAGGACGCTGGCCACTGGCCAACCGCGGGACTGCTTGCTCGCCCGCAGGGCTGCTTGCTCATCGAGTGTGAGCAAAGCCAGAGCCAGAACCGCCGCTGCTGAGCTGTCTTCCTGTTCTCCTGCAGCGCCCCCTGTTGGGCACCTTGGCAGGCCGGCTGGCAGAGGAAGCTGTGGTGCCAGTGCAGCCCCAGAGCCCAGATGAAGCAAGGCTGGGGGCCAAGGGGCAGCAGCTGGAGAGCCAGCACATCCTCTTAATTTCTAGTAATCTGTTCTGGGGGTAATTAAAAGTTATTTATAGTGCGTAATTGTAAGTGTCCGTGATATTCATTGCAGCATAGTGAAAATGCCAAACAACCTAAATTTCTGCCAGTTGTGGCTAAATAATTTAAGTGACAGTTCACCTGTGCAGTGGGTCTATACGAGCCACAGAAAAGAATGTGCTACTTATATTACGTCATTAAGCAATCAAAAGTAAAGAAAGTGCCGTGATCAAAGAGTACATCGTGACCACATGGAAGGAAGTAGTAGGACTATGTGCCAAAGTATTGCCAGTGAGCTGGCTGCTTGTGAATGGCAGGATTGTGAGTAGTTTCATTTCCCTGCTTTTTTAAAAAATTATTTGAATGTCGTAATCTACATTCAGCGTTGCTCAGTACATAATAGCATGTGGTGGCATTGATACATATTAGTATTAAAAGCAAAAACATGTCTAGTTAAATTTTTTTTTTAGTTTCATATCCTTTTAACTAATTTATTTTCTTACATCACTGTTAACTTTCGGACAGTATTTGATTTCTCCTCTCAGGCGTAATGCTCTTAGTTCTCCCACCACCCTGGCACCCGTGACCCATCACCACCATCCCTGTGCCACCCCTCCCCGCCCCTGCTGTGTGCCTCAGATGCATGGTCAGCTTGCAAGCCTTGTCTTTTTCCTGACAAGTCCACATATAAGTGAAACCATCAATATTTATCTTTTTCCTTCTGGCTTGCAGTTAAATATATTTTGTGTGCACTCAGCGCCCTGGGCCTATCACTGGCTTTGGGATAAAGCAGGAGGGTGAGTGGGCAGGGGCCAGGGGGCTGGACCTGGGTACGTGAGCCCAGTGCTGGGCCTAGTGGATCCACACGGATAAGGACTCGGGCTGGCATTGTTCTCCTTTCCACTTTGCCACTGAGCAGTGTGCCTGCTGGCCTGGACCACCTCTGGAGCCACGGCTAGATGCTAGCCATGCTGATAATATACACCACTTATTGAATACTTACTAATCCTACTGCTCAGTCTGCACAGCAGTCCCAAAGTGGGGTGCTATAAATATCTCCATTTTACAAATGAGGAAACTAGAGCTCAGAAAGGTCAAGCAGTTTGCTGAAGGTCAACAGCTAGCAAGTGGCAGCAGCCTGAGCAGTTGGACTCTGGCACAGGTGCTCCAACTGCTGGGCCGTGCCTCCTGCGCTCCCCGAGGGGCCGGCGCCAGAGAGCCGGACTGGGGCCACCCAGACACACCCCACAGCCTGGCAATTCCCAGCTGGGACCTGCAGGGCCAGGTCTGACTTTAGATGTGAGCGGGAGGTTGACAACGAGTACCTCTCTCACGCCCTGGAGAGAGGTTCTAACTTAGAAAATGCTATAGCTCAATTTTTTGTTTGAAAAATAAAATTAAATTTGAAAATGGGAGTGTTTTATTTGGGCCACAGTGGTCGAGGAGCACTTAGATCTTGGGCAATCCCTGACCACTAGGACTTAGTTCAAGACGCTTCTGTTTCCCAGCTGATCCGAATCAGCAACGCCAGCAGCGCTGCAGGAGATCCACTCATGACTTCAGCAAATATCTGTGAAGCGCCTACTGGAGGGTCAGACTTCCTAGCTGGGAGAGAGACAATGAACCAACAAGCTACTTCCAGACAGTGCCTGCACAGTGGGGCTTGGGAGGCATGGCCAAGGAGGGTTCCTGCGGAGAAGGCTTAGGAACAGTGTTGAAAATGAGATAAAGACAAAGGAGTGAACCAGAACACCAAGCCAGCCTCATGGGGGCTGGCAGAAGGGACAGCGAGCGGAAAGCCCTGGGGTCCCGGGCAGCTAAGAAATGGGCAAGACCTGCAGGCGAGCGTGGGAATGCAGGGGAGGCGCGGTCAGCAGCCGTCTAGTTCACTTCAGGCCCCTTAGAACTAAGACTTGGAAATTAGAACTGGGGCTAATGTGGTTTTGCGAGAATGTGGGTGTGATTCAGAAGCCCATGTTGGGGGGGTGCCCACGATGGTGGGTTAGCCCGGGGCACATGTTGGGGACTCTGTGCAAGTGTTGGTGCTCTTCCAGTGGTGTGGGCTTTGGGTGAGCCCAGTCCTTCCCTGTAGACCCTGCTAAGTTGGCTCTCCACACTCGAGCTCACACTTTTACATAATAAATCAAGTGACACTTATTTCATCCTGAAGAGCGGTTGACCTAATGAGCGTACGTAAGTGCCTTCAGGTCTTTGTATGGCAGCTGTGAATTATCTGACATGTTTTATTTTTAAATATTCTCTTCTTTAATCACAAAAAAAGTGGGAAATACAGAAAACACAAAGAACATTTAAATTGTTGATCAGGACCTCCCTGATGGCCTAGGGATTATGTCTCAGTGCTGTCACCACTAAGGCCTGAGCTCCCTCCCCAGCCAGGGAGGTGACCCACATGGCGCAGCAGACCTCTCCTGTCTCCCCGCTGCTCCCCTCAGCAGTGTGTTTCAGTAGATCTGCCTGTTCTGCTCCCCACTCTGTCTCTAGTGAGTCCTTTCACCCCTCTGCACCTCTGTGCTACACCCCAGTTTTCTATTCATTTACTTTTACCTTTCCCTTAAGCCTTCTGGTTTTTATCTGACAGTTTTCCCTCTCTGAGTCATCAGTGATGAATGAAGGACTTTCTCAAGCGTCAGTTCTTTGTCATTTGGGGAACCCAGGGTGACCCTGGTTTCCGTTTCACAGAGAACACGTGGTGACTTCTTGGGGTTCACTGCATTACTTGGGTATACAATTGAAAATGTCCCTTAAACAAAATATTTGAAATGTAGTCCCATTGAATAGTTATATGGCCCTTAATAAAACTTAACCAATTTTTTCTTTCTGCTCAGGTTAGGGACACTCATTTAAAGTGCTATGGAATTTCTATAAATTAATAACTTGAAGTTGGGGTGGTGGATGCTGTCCCAACAATGCCAGGGATATTCCAGCCCAGTTCACTTTGGTATTGTTTCATTGTCAGGCATTTGTGCAACTTGTGTCTTCAAAACTGCCTCCTGGTTTCTCTCCTACCTTAGACACAAGATTTAGATGCAGTTTCATACCTCGGATTCGGCAGTGACATTAGAGCAGCGAACCTGCTTTTTAGGACGATAAGAAAGCACGCAGCCTCAGCCCCTCTGTCTTTCTTCTTCAGATGTCGAGCACACCGGGGCCACCAGCGAGTTCTATGACAAGTTCACCATTCGCTACCACATCAGCACCATTTTTAAAAGCCTCTGGCAAAACATAGCTCACCATGGCACCTTTATGGAAGAGTTCAAGTGAGTATGGGCCACTAACGTCTCAGCTTGCTTCCTTGCAAATCACAGGTGGGGGTGGCAGCTTGAGAGCTTGCACAGCTGGGTTCTTGCTGACTGGTCGCAACCAAGCACTGCTCTGCGTGAGAGGGGCTCTTGGAAGGCCTGTGCCTGCCAGATGCTGCAAAGCCTTCATTGATGCCGCTACCTACTTAGCCTAAAGCACTACTGTTGAGGTCCTCTAGGGATGGTATGTGTGAAGAAAGAGCCTATGAAAAGCCTCCCTGGTGAGGACTCCCTCGGGGTTGAGTCTTAGGGATTATGTCTCAGTGCTGTCACCACTAAGGCCTGAGCTCCATCCCCAGCCAGGGAGCTGACCCACATGGTGCAGCAGACCTCTCCCGTCTTGCCTACTGCTCCCCTCAGAAGTGGATTTCAATAGATCTGTCTGTTCTGCTCCCCATTCTGTCTCTGGTGAATCCTTACCACCACCACCACCACACCTCTGGCCTTCACCCAGGTTCTTCTATGCATAAATAAATTTAAAAAAAAAAAGATCCTATAAATGTTCTGAGATGGTATGAGTATGTTAAGTGTGTGTTTCTATGATTACAGTGTTTAATGGGGTTGACTAAGATTAGACCTTACGGTGTTCTGGAATATGATATCGAGCATCAGTGTTAGAAAGCTTAGGAGGACTTGAGACCTTGCAGCAGCTAGTTGGGTAGTCATTTGAGTGGTATTCTTTGTCGTGAGGCCCTGAGCCACGATGACAGACTCCATTGCCTGCCTGAAATTTCAGTGATGACTTAGCCCTGGGCGTTAGTAACCCCATCTAACTTACTTAAAAATAAAAGTGGTTTTAGAAAAAAGGGAGATGAAAATACTGAACTCTTGAATTACTCTTCAGAGGAGATTTTATCCTGTCTAGTTGGATCCTTTGCAACCCACATTCGATATTTCATCATCGTTCGCTTGTTAACGGGGTTGCTGGTCAATAATGTGCCTGTTTCTGGTGCTGGACGGCTTTCTGCAAGGTAACTTCTTTATGTGAATTCTCAGTTTCCATGGCCTGCTCTTACAGTCAGAGCTGTGTCATAGTAGGAGCCTGGTGAGCTCTTAGGAAACCAGGCAGGCCCACGGCTGAGCTGCAGTGCCCTTCCTGAACTTTCCAGGCTCTGAGATCCAGGCCGCCTGCCCTTGTTTGCAGGCACTGCTCTTCCTCGGGCCTGAGTTTACCGCCCCCCGATTACACAGAGGTAGATCCTGAAGTTTAGCTCTCTGCTCTACTGATCTGACGGTTCGAGTCTAGCAGAGGTAGGCCGAATCACCTCATTAGAGCATGAAATGCAGGACAGCGTAGACTGGCAGCTCCAGGTCCTTGAAGGTAAGTTACTGTCCTCCCTCATCCATACTGCTGCTTCCAGTTTTTCTTCAGTGTGTCTATTTTAAGGAAACACCAGTATCAGTAGTTCTGTCTCTTATGTGTGAATAATTATTGGTGCTTTCTTGGTGAGCTCAGGCTGTTTTCTAGTCTGAAAGACTAGGAAGTCATTGAGGGCGTGAGCCAGGGCATACTGAGAAACCTACTCTTGGGAGAAGGAAAAAAAAAATTCAGTATTTGCTGATTTTCCAGAGTGTAAATACCTCTGATGTTGCCAAATGTTAGCTGCCATGGGATTCTGCCCACAGAATTTCAGAAGCCAGGCGGAATGGCACCCCATTCCACCGGGATGAGCCCATTAGAGTTAATGCGAAAGAATAACAGTATCTAAGGGGAGACCCGTCATTGGGCCTCAGCGGCGCCTGAGTCCCACGCAGGGGGCAGCCCAGAAGGCCGAGGGCTCCGCGGTGCCTTTGTCGGCAGGGAGGTGTCTGACCACGGATGATGCCATTGCCTTTCAGCTCTGGGAAGCAGTTTGTTCGATATATAAATATGCTAATAAACGACACGACGTTTTTGCTCGATGAAAGTCTGGAGTCTCTGAAGAGGATCCATGAAGTGCAAGAGGAGATGAAGAACAAAGAACAGTGGGACCAGCTGCCCCGGGTGAGGCCCCCCACCACCCCCCACAATGCTGGGGCACCTTTTCAGGAAAGCGCCTTTTAGGGCTGGAGGTTCTTCGTAGAATGTGCTGGAAAACAAGGCTCAGTAGGTTCCAGCTTCAGAGTCCAGGGCACCTGGTCTGAGAACTTTAAAAGCTGCTTAATATGTCTCCTTAGCCATAGGTCAGAGCTCCTCCCTGCGCTGCAGGGAGGCTGTGAGGGGAGACGAGGATGGCAGGTTTCCAGTTCAGGGCTGAGAGATGTGCAGCTTCTAAACTTCATTCTCCTTGAGACGCTACTTCCGTCCCAGAGGCCCCACTTTCCATCCTGCACCTTCAAATCCTGGCCGCTGTTGGTGTCAGGTCTCGTCTGGGCCTCCCCAGTAGGCGTGGCTGCAGGTCTCACCTCTCTCCTCTTTTTGTGCTCGCAGTGCTGCTCTCCGGCCAGGAGCTGTTGGGGCGCGGGGCTCCAGCACGTTGCTGCCTCACTCCCGGCTCTCACAGGCACTCGCTTACGAGAACCCAGATGCTGTTGCTGTCTCTGTGGTAACGGCTGGGCCGGTGCTCGTGCAGAAGTCATTTCCCTTGACTTTGAAGGCACTTCCTGCCTCCCACCTCCCGCCCTCTGGTCCTTGGAGAACTGGGGTGCTCAGCCCCCAGGCTTCTCCCCTTCTCTTTCCACCCTTGCACCCTACATCTGTGTTTCTCAGTAAGGATCAAATTTTGGAGTATTTTGATATGATACCTCTTTACTATGAGAGACTGTGCTGCCCATGGCGTGGAGACCTTAGCACCCCTGGCCCATGGCCATTGGATGCCACCCCTTGTCATCTGGCAACCAGAAACACCCCCTCTCATAGCCCAATGCCCCCTGAGAACCTCTGTGTGGGGACCTCATCTTGTCCAAGGCTTTTCTGTGTTCTGCAGCTCCAGAATGCGTCTCCCTGGCTCAGATCTCAGACCCCGGCGTTGGCTTCCCTCTCTGCCGGTGGTCAGATGAGTCTCAGCCTCACCTTGTCCAGAAAGGAACTCTTGAGGGTCTTCAGGGCTCTGCTTGATCTCAGTGAGTGACGGCGGCCTTCTGCTGGTTGCTCTGGCCGGCACTTTGGAGCCTCCGTGATTCCTCTCTGGCGAAACAGATGGCTCTGGACTGATTCAGAATATACCCACGCTCTTACCTGTCCCCACCACCTGCAGGCCTCTGGGCTCTCTTACCTGGAGTATTGTAGGAGCCTGGTTCCCCCTCACCCTCCACCCTTGCCCGTGTCCACACAGAGGGAGGCTGTTACGTCTGATCACTCACTATCACCTCTCCTTCCAGCTGCCCTCCCCACAGTCAGTTCTCCCAGTTAGTGTGGCCCGGGGTCCCGATCTCTCCACCTCACTCACCCCACACAGCCACACTCGCCTTTGCCTTTGCCTCTACCTGGAGCGCTCTTCCCCCGGAGTTTCTGCTAACTCACTTCTTAGACGTCTACTTAGGTCACCTCCTCAGAGACCCCCGGATACCCTTCCCAGGGTGTGAGAGAATCCTCTGCCCCAGCATCATTCTGTTTCTCTCCTGACCCTGCTCGATTCTCTGTATCTGTTTGGGGGTCTTTGTATCCCACCACAGTGGGAGCCAGACCAGTCTGTCCCGTGCTGTCTCCAGCCTCTGAAGGAGGGCCTTGACGGATATTTCCGTATTTTATTCCTCTCAGTGCCTCTAGGTGCTCTACCTTCTTTCACTCATGAGTCAAATTCACCGTATTCTCTTGTTCCCAGCCCATGGCAGGACGGGCAGGGGTGGGGCAGAGGCCAGCATGCTGCCGGTCCTGAGGGGCCACAGCCTTCAGTGTAGAAAGGTAGAAGAAACGTAGCCGTCTGCAGGGTGTGGAGCAGTGACCAGGCCTGCAGGCCTCCGTGTCAGAACACAACACGCCCGGTTTCTAAGACGGTGCTGCCTGGCTGAGTCAGCTGTGGAGGAAGAGACAGTCGCCTGTGTCAGCACCGTGTGTCAAGCGCGACGCAGGGTCTTGACTCCAGCCTGTGTAGGGCTTGACGGTGACCTTTATCACTGTGGAAACTGAGCCTCCTAGAAAGTTAAATAATGAACCAGGGTCACCCTAACTCAGCGTCCTGAACATTCCCATGCTAAAAGGAAGAAACCAGCTGCCTGGAAAACTCGCTGCTATCAGTTGTCACATCCTTCCTCCCACACTTTTCCAGCGCTGGGTTGACTGGGTTTCCTCCCGCCTGGCGCTTTGGCTCCGTGTCTGACTCCTGCCGCCTTTCTCCTAGGACCAGCAGCAGGCCCGACAGTCTCAGCTTGCTCAGGACGAACGTGTCTCGCGTTCCTACCTGGCCCTGGCCACAGAAACCGTAGACATGTTCCACATCCTCACCAAGCAGGTCCAGAAGCCCTTCCTCAGGCCGGTGAGTGCAGGCTGTGCACTGTCTGTCTGTCTGTCTGTTGGATCCCACACCCTGGTTCTGTCACTTATCACTAAGTAGAGGCGTTGAAATCTGGAGACATGTCAGCATCTTGGTCACTGATCAGTGAAACTTACTGATTTCATTCCCCATGCTAATTGTGCTAATTGCTACACACAGCTCTCTGGTGATGAACTTCCAGAAAGACTTCATTCCCCTCCCTCTTAGATAGTACGTGGCCTTAGTAACATCGAAGCTGTGACGTTTTACCACTATTGATTACTGTGTCTTATTTATACTAGAGTGTAAAGTAACATCAACTGGAAATAAAAGCATATTAGAGATAATGAACAATGTCTAAAATCTTTGGTTCTCTCAGATACGGCTTTGTTACACTGAAGAAGCCAAGGGGTAATGAGAGCTATAGTTAGGGTTTATGAGAGATCAAAGCTAGTCAAGGTGTTTGACTCTGACATGATGAAGGAGGCCAGTTTATAGTGCAACATAACTTCACTACGTGGTTTTCCAGTCTCAGCATTCCCTCTCACCTCAGCTACCACCACCCAGCCTGTCTGCAGCTCCCAGAGGGCCGCCTCCTCTCTTGCCCTTTCCATGCCTTGTCTCTTCATAAACAGACTACAGTGCAAGAGCAGTGGGACGGGAAGCCAAACAAGCTCCCTATCGAAAGCCTGAGGACACTGCTGCTAAACAGCTAATTTAAGCAAGATAGTTCAGACACTTGATTCCCTGAAAGGTTTGCAAATGGAATTTCTTTAAACTTTCTCTTTCAAGGCCAAACTGGCTATAGTTTAGGTGTTATGAGCCACACAATCTGTTGCCATGGCTCAGCTGTGCTGTTACAGTGAGAAAGTCACACACGAATGCAAGAGCACACGTGTGGCCGTGTTCCCCTGGAACTTTCTAGAAACACTGAGTAGAATTTGGACTGCAGGAAATTTGCTGATTTCTGCTCTAAACCAGGTGTTATTTTATGTTCAGTGACCCCAATGGCAGTGCTAATTGTATAGTAAATTACTTGAGACTAAGTTAACATAAAACCTATTTTTTGGCTCTAAATTCTTCATTTTTAAAGGATGTTGGTTAAGTCCAATATTGTCTTGTCAGTCAAAAAAATTTTTTTTTTTCAAATTGTATTCCCAGACCTGGGCTGTCTGTCCCCTACCATGTCCCAGCTTCTGCCCATCTGTGCCTGGGCCTGCTTACGTGGTTCCTTTTCCTCCCGACTGTTTTCACCTTCTTTCCTGGGTTGTTTGAAGCTCTCCTATTTCACAACAGAACCTCCAACTCTGCCTTATTTTGATCAGTGCTTGTTTCACGGCTTCTTACCGAACAGAGGAGTCCTCTGCTCTGTACAAAGCAGGTCTTTGAAAAGCTGAGTTTAAGTTGGATTTGCCCAGTCATTGAACTGGAGGAAAACCTCATTTCCCAAAGGGAAGCTCTCCCTGCTCCTCTCAAGGTCAGGCTGGCTCTGATCTAAGCCGACTGGCCTGCTTCACGTTGGCCCAAAGCAGCGTCTGTGCACTGGTCACGGGCACAGGCTCATCCTGTGGGGTTGTTATTTTATAGTTATAGTCTAAAGTTCACTTTGTCTCACCGACTAGATTTAAAACTATAAGACGTACATTTTATCTTCCACTTTGGTTTGCATTTCTCCCGTCCCTCTGTCTATAAATAAGGAAGAAAGGCACACCTCCTCTGAATGGCCAGGGACTTCCAGAGTTTGTAGAAAGATCACGTATCCGTGATGGCTGGAAGCACATACACAAAACCTGTGTGCCTTGCATCATGATGATGGAATTGTGAATGATTTTCCCGCTTTTACCTAGTTCCCAGTGACTTTGAGAAGATCACTGAAGAAGACTTAAGAGATCACTTTTTAGTTAATTAATAATAATTCATTTATAGTAATACTGAATAATAAATAACCCCCAGCCTGCAGCATTCCAGTAGGTATTAGAATTTCTGGATGAGCAGTGGAGAGGAAAGGCGATCTCGAACGCCATGTCCTTCAGCTTCTGATCCATAGCGCAGACAAGGGATTCTTTGACGATGAGCCCAGCCCATCCTGCTCCCCCACTGAAATGGGAGTTTTGGGTCCTTCTCGCTCGACTCAACAGCTTGAATTGTCATATTATCCTGTGACTTCCTAGGAACTCGGACCTCGATTGGCTGCAATGCTGAACTTTAATCTCCAGCAACTCTGTGGCCCCAAGTGCCGTGACCTGAAAGTTGAAAACCCTGAGAAATACGGCTTTGAACCAAAGAAGCTGTTGGACCAGCTGACAGATATTTACTTGCAGCTGGACTGTGCCCGGTTCGCCAAAGCCATTGCCGATGACCAGGTCAGTGCCCCAGGGAGGGGGTGTTTTGGGGGTCTGGGGCCCAGGCCCCGCAGCTGGCCTGAGTCTGCTTCTCTGGGGGATACTGGCAGACGCGTGCCGCTCCATGTCCCTCCGCCCTTGGTCTTCCCCGCTTGAAGCCAAGGAAGGTAATACTTCCAAATTGTGATTGGGAAGTTTCTAGTACATCGATAGAAATAACCACTGCGGTGGCCAGGGGAACTGTCTGGTATTAATGAAGATGGAGTGTTTGTTTTCCTCTGGGTGTAAAGAGCAGATCTGGCTCCGGTTGAGTTCTTGAGCCGTCTTGCTGAGGCCTTGCTCAGCAAATCCTTGTGTTCTCAGAAAGAGCCTGCTGTCCTCAGCCATCCAGGTCTCCTCCCAAGTCCCCTCTCCCGCATTCCTCCCCAATCTCCTGCCATCGGGCGTGTGCGCTGCAGGTTTCAAGCCTCCTATTACCTTGCTGTCCACCCCTCGCGGTTCGCCCTACGTCCCACCGGGGTCACACTGTGTTGTGTTTTTCGTTTCCATAGCTGCACATCTAGTCTCAGCTACCCCTGCCTGGCCTCACCTTTTGATTTTCTAGTAATCCCATGAAGGTCTCCCTCCCCCCACGTTCTTCTGTTCTCCATCCTCTTCGGCGTGTTCATGGCTCGTGTTTATCAGCTGTATACCAAGTGTTAGCCACTCTTTAGGTCTTTACTCATTGATTCCTCACAAAATTCTTTGATTTGGGTTCATTTTAAAATGAGACACAGAGGGGGCCTTCATGGTGGCACAGGGGTTAAGTCTCAACACCATCAAGCTCTCACCAGCCACCGAAACATGAGTTTGATTCCTGGCCAGGGAGCTACCCACAGGGTGCCGCAGACCTCTCCTGTCTCCCCGCTGCTCAGCAGTGTATTTCAGTGGATCTGCCTGTTCTGCTCCCCACTCTGTCTCTAGTAAATCCTCTCACCCCCCGACCTCTGACCTACACCCCAGTTCTTGTATGCATAAATAAATCTTTTAAAAAATAAATATATAAAAATAAAATGAGGCACAGGGAAATTAAGTAGCTCCTCCAGGTCAGAGTGCATGGGAGACAGAGGCAGGACTCGCAGCCCAGCTGTCCGGCCCTGAGTGCCATCTCTGGCCTCTCCTCTCCACTTAAAATGCCCCATACTACTGTCTTCGTCTTTGTTCACACGCCTCTGCAAATATTGCTCACACGCAGGTTAACTGTCAGGGGCATTCTGGAAGCTGGTCCCTGCCATCGAGTGTCAGGACCTCCTTCCCAGGGCTGAGCTCCTGTCGTCCTCCAGGTGCACCGTGACTTGTCCTGTCATCCAGAAGGGCCAGGGGTGCCCACGCCCTGGCCTGCTGTGGACAGTGCTTGGTGAACATTCTGGACAGGGTTTGCTTGGGTGCTTGCTTTTCAGGTCTGAGGAGGGAGCAGAACTGCTGAGTCATGTCCTGGTTCTGTGGTTGACTTAAGAGAAACTTCCAAACTGTTCCAAGTGGCTGCTCCTTTTTACATGCCCACCGGCACTTGCTGGCTCTCCACGTCCTCACCTGCTCTCGTTAGCTTCTTTTCTGTTGTTTGTTTATTGTTTTAAGTAGCTGCCTTCATGGGAGTGCAGTGTTTTTGCTCTGTGTTTAATGACGACACTGGCAGACACTGTCCTGTGCTTACTGGACAGCCACGTTATGTCTTTGGAGAAATGTCTGGTCAAGTCTGTCACCCATTTTTTAATGTACTGCATGGTCTTTTTTTTTTTTTTAAGATTTATTTATACAAGCACTGGGTACAGTCAGAAGTGCGGGAGGGTGAGAAGAATGCCAGAGCGGGGAGCAGAGCAGGCAGGAGGACTGAAGTGCACTGCTGAGGGGAGCAGCAGGTGGCAGGAGAGGTCTGCGCGCCATGTGGGACCCTCACCCAGTGGCTGGGGAGCAGCCAGGGATCGAACCAGCGCTGCAGAGGCTGCGGGCAGCTTCGCAACCCAGCGCTCAACCACTGCGCCACCGGGGAGGCCCCCCTTCACCCATTTTTTAAATGGAATTCTTTGTATTTTTTATTGTTGAGTTGTAAAAAGTCTTTTAAATAACCTGGCTGCTAGACCTTTCTGAGCTCTGATTTTTTTTTTTTTTTTTTTCATTTAATCTCATTACTGCTATACAAGAGACTTGACGTCTAGAACGTCTGCCCTCTCTGACCCCACCCACCCAACCTTAGAGCAGCAGCTCAGCAACACGTGGTGTCTGGGGGATTCATCGAAGCCAAATGCCATGTCCCCTCATCAGGAGTGGCCTTCCTCGCCCATGGCTCCTCTGTGCTACCTCGGAAGCTGCCTTCTAAGCAAGCACGAGTCTATTAAAGACTCCTCCTTCGAGAGCTAGAGCGAATGGTGTTTTATGAGGATAACAAATGGGCTAAAAACAGCTTCGTGTTGGGCCTCCCCGGTGGCGCAGCGGTTGAGCGCTGGGTTGCAAAGCTGCCGGCGACCTCCGCGGCGCCGGTTCAATCCCCGGCTGCTCCCCGGCCACCGAAGGAGGGTCCCACATGGCGCGCAGACCTCTCCTGCCGCCCGCTGCTCCCCTCAGCAGTGTACTTCGGTCCTTCTGCCTGCTCTGCTCCCCGCTCTGGCTCTGGTGAATTCTCTCACCCTCCCGCGCTTCTGACTGTACCCAGTGCATGTATAAACAAAACGAACGAACAAACAAATAAATAAATTTAAAAAAAAAAAAAATGCCTCTAAAAAAAAAAACAGCTTCGTGTTAAAAGAGACGTTGAAGGTGAAATCATCTCGGGGTGTCTGTGTGGCAACCCCCCATGCTCGGGAACTGCCCTGCAGCATCTCACTGTGACCTTTTGATAGTTTGTCCTGGAGCCCCTTTACAGAGGGGCGGCCACCATGGCTTGTCTGGCACATAGCAAGTGGCACCAAGTAAAGTATTTGTTTAAGTAATGTAGGAATTTGGCTTCCAAAAGCTATCAGCAAGGGCCCCTAAGCCCTTCGGGGCTGCAGACAGGTTTTGGGGTGATGCTGGACCCCGGCTCCCCACCCACACTTTTGCCTTTCTGTTGTCCCTCATTGTATGGATTTGAGCAGGGTGTGGGTGTGAGAGAGAAAGTGAGCATGTGTACTTATTTAGAAGCCGAAGTTAAAAAAGGAAAAAAGGAAGACAGAAGAATTCCAGCCAGCCCCATGAGAGAACACAAGCGCAGATGCCGGGGTGGGTTAGAAAAGGCGGGTCACAGCCCATGGCCCTGTCACTCACGGGCTCAGATGTCACCATTCCCTCCCGCTGTGGGCGTCACTGTCATGGAACGGACAGGTGGCCATTGTTTTTGCCATCAGTGCCAACGGATGTCCTTTGATACCTTGGACTGCTGTGATTTAGAGGAGCAGACACCTGTGAGGTAGGCGCACCACCCCCATTTTACACCCCAGGAAACAGGCTCAAGAGGCTCGGGGATTTGCTGAAGACCACAGGGCAGGTCAGTAAGTGTAAAGGCCAGAGTTCAAGGCCAGGTTTGTCCAGACTGTGTTGGGCACTTGCCCCCTTCCCTACCCCTCCCACCCTGGAAGGCTCCTGAGTCTGAGGGTGTTAAGCTGAGATCTGACAGAAAGGCAGACAGTGGGCCTCCCCTGGTGGCGCAGCGGTTGAGCGCTGGGCTGCGAAGCTGCCCGCAGCCTCTGCAGCGCCGGTTCAATCCCCGGCCGTGGCGAGGGTCCCACATGGCGCGCAGACCTCTCCTGCCGCCCGCTGCTCCCCTCAGCAGTGTACTTTGTCAGTCTGCCTGTTCTGCTCCCCGCTCTGGCTCTGGTGAATTCTCTCACCCTCCCGTGCTTCTGACTGTACCCGGTGCTTGTATAAATAAATAAATTAATTAATGTTTTTAAAAAAAGAAAGGCGGATAGCACGTGGGAGGATGTGCCCTGGCCCAGGGGCTCCAGGGGGCTGTTTCCCGCATGTCTGCCCTTAGCGGGGCGATGCTGGTCCACACACCGCAAGGCGCAGAGCCCGGCCAGAGCCGCAGTAGACTGATGTCCTTCTCTATTTCATTTTAAACATCATAAATAAAAGACTTTTTATTTGTCACCACTGAAAGTCCGAATGTCAAACAGACTCTTGTACTTCGTGGCTCATACCCATCTGCTCATTCGACGTCGGCCCTGCCCGGCCCCAGAACCACCACCTTCACCGTGAAGCTTGGTTTTCCCAGTTTACACTTGGGCTTCTCCAACCTGTTGACTTTTCTAACAGGACCCTATAGAGGGGCATCCCTGGTACATCTGGAATCATGTGATCACCGCTCTTTGAAGGCATTTGTCTGCCCCTTTCGGGTCTAAATTTCCAGCATCTTCTTCCAGATTTGCAAACCTGCCGGTGCTGAGCATCAGAGGCCTTCCGAGTCCGACTGTTGCATTTTCTAGTCAAACCCACACAGAACTGACGAGCATGTGGCCCTGGGGTCTTGATATCGGCGTGAGCATCATCATCAGACAGGACCACGTCCTGTCTCGGGCAGGATCTGGGCCAGGAACGTAGTCAGGCCCTTATTGCCCTGAACATCCTCAGTGATTAGCTTGAATTTTCCAAATGCAGCTTCAGATCCTGCAGATCAGCCAAGCTTCCTTCAGAGCCTTGACCCTGACGGCGTCAGCACCTGTGAGCGGTGCTTTCCCAGCAATTCTCACATGGCCACTGCCACGCCGGCACATACCCTGCACCCCACCACCGCCTCCCAGCTCCCTTTCTGCCCCTCAGGAGGCTCCTGTTTGCCCACTGCCAGGCTGCTGCTCGGAGAGCCAAAAAACCTTCTCTTTTCAATATCTAAATTTTGAAAGAAGTGCATGTTTGCCTTAACAGTGTGAAATGCCCCTCACTTGCCTCAATCCTGAAGCCATCCCCTGACCTTGTACAGTCTGGTGTATATTGTTCCACTCGTTACATTTATTTTAGCCATGTTCAAGAGCGTGTGTGTGGAATAATTTTAGGCCTTTTTAAAGAAACTGGGTACTTTCTGCAGCTTGTTTTATTCCACTTAGGATATATTTTCCTCTCACATAGTTCTCCTCATTTGCAGAGATCTTACAGCAAGGAGTTGTTTGAAGAAGTTATCTCGAAGATGCGGAAGGCGGGGATCAAATCCACAATAGCAATAGAGAAGTTTAAGCTCCTCGCCGAGAAAGTGGAGGAGATAGTGGCCAAGAACGCACGTGCGGAGATCGACTACAGTGACGCCCCCGACGAGTTCAGAGGCGAGTGGGCTGCACCCCGAAGAGGCTGAGTCCTCTCCCTTGAATGCTCTCGAGACACACGGCGCTAAAGAGGCCATTCTGTAATTTTAGTTTATTTCATGGTGGGCTGGGGTTGCTTTCTGAGACACTTTGTCTGGAATCACGTTTGCCTCGTTTGCTTCATACTGTAAACGAGAAGGCAACATAAGTCCTCAGCCTGACTTCAAACCAGATAACAACCCCGAAGGTTCTGAGGTCTGTCTGGCCTTTGCACGCGGGACGCACAGTTTCGCAGACTCCTGCAAAGCGCAAGAGAAAGGGTTGTGGCCTCCATGTCCACCGCTGAGCCCGGGCACCCTTAGCCCCACTAATCCCTCTTTTTGCCTATTTTTCCCTCCCGTGGTAGCTGACAAAAGGCAATGTCTGTGTCTAGCTCATGCTGGTTTCCTTCTAAACGCGGGGACCTAGCAGGAGCAGGCGCCGCGTCGTGGCCATTCTGAGGATACGCTCTCTGCTGGCCCCAGCGCGTGCCAGCCTTAGGCTCCGAGGTTGAGTCTGCGCTTTGTCTCTGTAGACCCTCTGATGGACACCCTGATGACCGACCCTGTGCGGCTGCCCTCCGGCACCGTCATGGACCGCTCCATCATTCTGCGGCACTTGCTGAACTCCCCCACCGACCCCTTCAACCGGCAGACGCTGACGGAGAGCATGCTGGAGCCAGGTAGGGGGCCCGGCCCGGGGCCCAAGTCGTAGATCACAGATGAACCGAAATGGGGAGATGCATCCAATCCAGAAACCACCCAGCTCGTGACGCTGATCGGGAAAGACACACACATCCTCTGTGCTTTTTCACTCCGAGCCTAATCCTTCCTCTTCGTGTCCCGTTGCCGCTTCAGCCTCCAGCCGGCGGGGCTGAATGGCCCTTTCTCTCCACTGCCACAGACCGACAAGCATCGGGAAGGGCCCTCCCCTCTGGGGCACTAATCCTTCCCTTTTCTCTTCTCAGTGCCAGAACTGAAAGAGCAGATCCACGCCTGGATGAGAGAGAAGCAGAGCGGCGACCACTGACCCGCCCCGGCCCCTGCTGGACGCGACCCTGGCAGGCGGGCCAGGCAGAGGCAGCGTCGGTGGCAAAGACAGAAAGAAAAATCTTCAAACGTCAGAGGCCAAATGCGGCGGAACACCCTGAGAGCCCACCCAGAGCGACCAAACGGGGGTCTGCGCGGACACGGAGTTGACGAGGAACCCGATCCTGTACATATATTTAAGTGACAGACGTGGTCCGGAGTGGAGGGACGCGCTGTGATTGCTTGTGTAATAAACACGTCCTTCCAGTGTCGCGGTTTGGGGCTTTGGCGACGGAGGTCTTTTAGGGATCGATGACGATTGGGTCTGGGCAGCATCCCCTTCACTTCCCCCCCTAAATCCAATATCCGTTGATTTGATTGTGATTAGAGAACCCTGGACATTTTGCTGCTAACGAATCTCCCCCACTCCCCTCCCGACCCGACTTGCACTGCTGTGGATTTTTTTAAGAGAAGCTAAAACAAAAATAAACTCCTTTCCCTGGCCCTCCAAACATATATCCTGTGAGATAACTGTGCCTGCAACAAAGTGTTAATCCTGGGATCGTATTTTTATATCATATTCACATATTTGTTTTTTTAATTGGTGTTAGATGACATGATTAATAAAAAAGGCAAAGATATTTTCAGAATTTGAATTTCAGTTTTTTTTCTTTTGAAATGTCCCTTCAAATTTTTTTATTCTAAACAAAATGAAGAGAATCATTGCTCAGGTCCTTGTTAATAGTCCCTCTGTTAGAAATCTAGGGAACAGCTGCAGCAAAGGAAGGGTCTAAGCATATCAGGACTTACGTGACTTGCGGTTTGGGGGGGGCGGGCAGGGGATTGGTTTTTTTAACACTATGTGACAGTTCAAAATCTGACGGCGATCCTGTGAGGGTCCATGAATTCCTCAAGTCTTGAGTCTGTGAGTTCGAGCCAGGGCTGATTTGTCTGATGCGTCCAAGGGGCTTGGCCTTACCAAAGCAAGAAAAGAGTGCAAGAAATGATGTGGAAGCACGTCTGCTGGTTGAAACACACACACACACACACACACATACACACACACACACCCCTACCCACATGCCCATACACATCCAACATTTTGTATTACTGCTACTCAGCATACTTGAATTCCTGAATTTCCTTTGGGGTAAAAAAGGATTTGAAACCATAAAGTGTTTTGAAAAAATTAAGTCTGCAGAAACATGCTTTCTTTTTCTTTTCCTTTTTTCCCCCCTCCACAGACAATGCCCTCTGTTCAATAAATGCAATTTATTGCTACAATAAATGGTGATACACATTCAGAAGGAATCTTCTTTGAGTCGCTTCTTTTTGTGGAAAACGGGTGGGTTAAAAAAAAAAAAAAACAGAGACTTGAGTGTGCGTGGGGTGAATTCTCTCTTCTGGAGCCAATTAGGAACTGCTGTTTTTACAAGAAAACTTTCGTGTCTGTGTCGGCCTTGCTGCTGTGTTCGGTTCCCATGTCACTGTTTGCTCACGGAGGGGGGTTCAAGCTGGTCACATTCAGTCTCAGCTCTTCGTAGGTGGTGGCTTCCTGATCTCAAATGTCTTTTCCCTGACCTTTAAAATTCTTACTCAAGTCCAACCCATTCCATCAATATTTTCTTAGGCACTGCACTTTGCAAAGCCACATCTGCCAGCTCCTGTAATAGCCACAGCAGGTACTTAATATAGCGGGTTCTGTATGCCAGCGCCAAACAAAGGCCTTTACAGCTGTGCTTTCATCCTCTAAGAAGAAGAAAATATGATCTTGATTTTTAAAAAAAATTACAGAATGGGGTTGGGGGGCGGGCAGTGGAAGATAGATTGCCCAGGATCACCTGAACAGTTAATGGACAAGCTGCTGTCCAGACTCAGCCCTCAGCCACCATGTCTGCTGCTGAAGCACATTTCAACTATAATATCACATTTTCCCAAAAAGAAACAATGTCGTCATCATTGCAAGCCTTTTCAGACAACAAAGAGGAAAGTCACCCATCATCCCACCATACTTGTAACTATTTACTTTTTATTAAGCTTATATATGTATATGCCTTGAAAATGACAATGTTTACTGGCTTCTATGCCTAATTTTGATTATTCATTTCATGGGTGTATATTGTTTGTCTTGACTCCATCCAGACTACAAACTCTCCTAAGGTACAGATTCTGTCCTATCTTTTGCGCACCCCCCTCATATCTCCTCTTGAAATTAATATTCTGAGGTTTCAGGGACCCTCCCCTGGGCTGGATGTATTTCCTGCCTGCACTGTCTCTGGGAGGACAATGTTTGGGATTTCTATCTTTTGAGTCTCCAGGTTGCTGTTTTTAATATATATATTTTTTTAAAAGATTTATTTATTTATTTATACAAGCACTGGGTACGGTCAGAAGCACGGGAGGGTGAGAGAATTCACCAGAGCCAGAGCGGGGAACAGAACAGGCAGACTGATGAAGTACACTGCTGAGGGGAGCAGCGGGCAGCAGGAGAGGTCTGCGCACCACACGGGACCCTCCTCCAGTGGTCGGGGAGCAGCCGGGGATTGAACCGGCGCCTCAGAGGCCGTGGGCAGCTTCGCAACCCAGCGCTCAACCGCTGCGCCACCGGGGAGGCCCCAGATCGCTGTTTTACAGAAACCCGTGAATGTCTTCAATCTACTCATTATGGACATCAAAGTAAATTGCCAAATATTTTCAATGTAGTTCTGGGTTACAGGAAGGTGGTCGGATAGGAAGGAGCATCAGGGCCTGAGCAGGAGAGAGATGATCCTGGAGCGGAGGATGATTAAAATAGCTTCTTACTCACTGTGACTCACTGTCGTGTGGGGTGTTTCAGAGGAACTCATAAAATATCAGTTAGTGAAACACCTTGCTTTGTTCACATTTTGTACTTTGGGGTTTAGTACATAAAGCCGTGAAATTTCATGATGTTTTTGTTGGGGTGCTCAGGGGACGTAACTAGACATCATCTGGCCAGGCACGTTTGGATTGAAGGAAACACCCACAGCAGCCCACGAGCTGGACGTACGTAACAGCTAACGTTGGGCTGGCGTCGCCGCTCTGGATTGATGACTAACGTGCATTTTGTGAGCGTGTTCTGTGTGCCAGCCACTTTTCCATGTACTAATTCGCTTAATTCTCCACAACTGTATGAAGGAGACTGTAGCATAACTGGCCCCTGAATTCTTGGGCTTCAGAGTCTGATCCCCTCTCGAGTCCTGCCGTTGAGCGGGCTTCTGGAATGGCCCGAGTTCAGCAACCAAGGAGATAAGGAAAGACGGCATAGCATCCTGGAGGGACGTTGGCTTTGGGGTCCGCTCAGGACCCGCCCCCATTTGGAATGATTAAATAACTTCAATCTCATGTCTTTCAGAACCAGCCCTTCACTCTGGCCCCCAAATTCTATCTCCAGCCCAGACTGCTCTCCTGTGCTGCAGATGCCAGACATCCTGGATGTCAGAAAGGTCCTCAGAATTAACACCCAAATTAAGTTCCTCATGCGCCATCCCAGACCCGCTCCCCTAGGTCTCCATCATGGTGACAGGCAACTCCTTCCCTTCCCAGTCACGCAGGCTTAGCCTTTGGCATCATCCCTGTGAAACCTTAACTAAATTCATGTCACTTAGTATGCGCAGAACCTTCCCATGGCTTCTCAGTGCCCCAGAATAAAAGAAGTCCTCACAACGCCCCCACCCCACTGTCCCTCTGACCTCATAACCCACAAACTCCCTTTATTCCAGCCACTAAGCCCGCTGGCCCCGGGCTCTCCTCCAACGGCAATCGCCATCACATACACACACACCCCCGCCGGGGCCTTGCTCTTAGGAACCCCATATCTACCAGCCATCCTCTTCAGCCATGCAGAGAACCACATGGGCCACTCACCCCCCAATTTGCTTTAGGTCTTTACTCAAATGTCACCTCTGTAAGACTTTCCTTGTCCACCCTATTTAAAATTGCAATTCAGGGCCTCCCTGGTGGCGCAAGGGGTTAAGCACCGCACTATGATGCAATCTGCAGCCACTGCAGCACGAGTTCCATCCCCAGCCAGGGAGCTACCCACATGGCACAGCAGACCTCTCCTGACTCACCTGCTGCTCCCCTCAGCAGTGTGTTTCCATAGATCTGCCTGTTCTGCTCCCCACTCTGTCTCTGGGGAATCCTCTCACCCCCCCATGCCTCTGGCCTGTACCCCAGTTCTTGTATGCATAAATAAATAAGTCTTTAAAAAAAAAAAACTTACTCCCTCGTCAGTTTCAGATGTTGGGATTCTCTTTCCCATCTGTCATGTCTCTGATCACTTCGTCGGGCTCTCCTTTTATTTTTGAAAAGAAATTCTGAATTTGAGTATTTAGTATTGTTACCTCTCTCTATGCTTTTATTTGGGGATCTTTGTATCAAGGTCAAATTCACACCCATACAGGTCACCGCCTTCAAGTACAAGCCCACGAGAGTTCACGTCTTCAGATTGTGCGACCGCCAGCCAGCCCAAGTTTCACGACTAATTCAATGGCTGGAATTTTTAAAATCTGACCATTTGAGTAGGAAATGTGTATACATCGTCCAAAATGCAAGGGATGCCAAAAAATACTGAGAGAAAAGATGGCCTCCCCTATCCGCCCCCATCACCAGCCTCTCGAGACCGTCCCCCTCACCAGAAATGGTGGTTCTTGGCTTTTCTGCACCTCCTTTCCCACCCAAAATAAGCTTTGGTGTGCATTCTTTTCCTCCCTTGGCACCTGCATTTCACTATTTCTGCATCCTTATTAATTCTTTAAAGACTTATTTATTTTTGCGTGGAAGAACTGGGGTGCAGGCCAGCAGTGTTGGGGGTGAGAAGATTCCCCAGAGACTGAGTGGGGAGCAGAACAGGCAGATTGACTGAAGAATACTGCTGAGGGGAGCAGCGGGGTGACAGGAGAGGTCTGTTGCACCATGTGGGTCACCTCCCTGGCCGGGAATCGAACTTGTGCCGTAGTGGCTGTGGGCAGCTTCATAGGTTGCAGCTCAACCCCTTGCACCACCAGGGAGGCCCACCTAGATATTTTTTATCTGTTTTACTGTTGATGGACATTTGGGTTGATTCCATATGTGACTATGACAGGCAATGTGGCTGTGAACATTCTTGAATATGTTTCAGGTTCCATTGGCTGTTGGGGTTTAGATTTTTGTCAAGAGCATTTCCTGCATCTATTGAGATGTTTATATAGTTTTAATTTTAGGCTGTGAATTACACTGACTGATTTCCAAAGGTAAGTAAGCCTTGCAATGTGGGGAAGACCGTGCTAGGACATCATGTATTCTTTTTACATATTGTTGCATTCAATTGTTAAAATGTCCTTAAGAATTTTTGTGTGAGGCCTTCCCTGGTGGCACAGGCAGTTGAGCGCTGCACTGTGAAGCTGTCCGCAGCCTCTGCAGCGACGGTTCAATCCCCGCCGGCCGGCAAGGGTCCCACATGGCGCAGCAGACCTCTCCTGTCTCCCCGCTGCTCCCCTCAGCAGTGGACTTTGTCAATCTGCCTGTTCTGTTCCCTTTTCTGTCTCTGGTGAATCCTCTCACCCTCCTGCACATCTGGCCTGTGCCCAGGTTCTTGTATAATATTTGCCTTACAAGGGATATTGTATTTTTTTTGGAATGTCTTTTTCTGGTTTTAATCCTTTTTCCCACTTACTGTTTCTCTCCTTTTGGGAGAAAAGAGATGATTAATGCCAATTTTCAAGATCACTACATTGCATAATTCAGTGACTCAGCATTATAACCTAAGACGCCATTTCTGCTTGTGTGTGTGTATATCTATCCACATGTACATAAATATACATATATATTTAATTTTCAAAATTTTGTTCCTCTTTATCATTTCTTTTTTTTTAAAGATTTATTTATTCATGCATACAAGAATTGGGGTACAGGCCAGATGCGTGGGAGGGTGAGAGAATTCACCAGAGACAGAAAAGGGAACAGAACAGGCAAACTGGCTGAAATCCACTGCTGAGGGGAGCAGCGGGTGAGACAGGAGAGTCTGCTGCACCATGTGAGTTGCTTCCCAGCTGGCCGGGATCGAACCTGCACTGCAGAGGCTCTGTGGACACCTTCACAGCACTGTGCTCAACCGCCTGTGCCACCAGGGGAGGCCCCCTCTTTATTATTTCTTTGTGTCTTCTGGTGGAAGGCTAATCTTCTAGGTCAATCTTCTAGTTACTAATCCCTTTTTTGTGTGAGTTTTCCTATTGAAACTTGTTTCTCCAAAGAGTTGAAACAAATTGTTCATTCCATTCATTGTTACCAACAGACTAGCTCTTTGT